CTAAAAATATTCAAAATGCTAAATAAGAAATGTCAGTCGAAGGAATGGGTAAGAAAAACAGCCCGGTCCTGCGTTCCGCAGAATGTTAAGATGAGAGAAAAACATGCACATAAAAAGTTCAGAAGAGAAGCTGGATGCAATGCACCCGAGGGTGCTGGGGGAGATGGCTGTGATTGCAGAGCTGCTGGCCATTATCTTTGAAAACTCGTGCCAATTGGGGGAGGTCCCAAACAATTGAAAAATAGCAAATATAGTTCCCATCTTTAAGAAATGGAAGAAGGAGAATCCATGGAACTACAGACTAGTCAGCGTCACCTCAGTCCCTGGAAAAATCATGGAGCAGATCCTCAAGAAATCCATTTCTAAGCACTTGGAGGAAAAGAAGGTGATTAGGAACAGTCAGCGTGGATTCACCAAGGGCAAGTCATGTCTGACCAACCTGATTGCCTCTGTGATGAGATCACTGGCTCTGTGGATGTGGGGAAGGCAGTGGATGTGATATACCTTGACTTTAGCAAGGCTTTTGATACAGACTCCCACAGTATTCTTGCAAACGAGCTAAGGAAGTACGGGTTAGAACAGGGGTAGGCAAAATGCCGCCTGCGGGCCAGATGTGGCTCGCCAGGCCATTCTGTCTGGCCCACAGGACCCCTGAAAAATTTAGGAAATTAATATTTATTTGCTCCTGGCTGCCTGTCTTGCAGCCCTTGATGGCTTGCTAAAACTCAGTAAGTGGCCCTCTGCCTGAAATAATTGCCCACCCTGGGTTAGATGAATGGACTGTAAGGTGGATAAAAAGCTGGTTAGATTGTCAGGCTCAACGGGTTGTGATCTGCATGCCCCAGGGGCCGGTCCTGGGGCTGGTTTTGTTCAATATCTTCACTAACTATCTGAAAGATGGGATGGATTGCACCCTAAGCAAGTTCAGAGATGACACCAAGATGAGGGGTGTAGCAGATGAGCTGGAGGGTAGGGTTAGGAATCAGAGTGACATAATTGGACAAATTGGAGGATTAAGCCAAAAGAAATCTCATGAGGTTCAACAAGGACGAGTGAAAAGTCCTTCACCTATGATGGAACAATCCCATGCACCAATACAGACTAGGGGCTGACTGGCTGGGCAACAGCTCTGCAGAAAAGGATCTGGAGGTTGCATTAGACAGTGAGCTAGTATGAGCCAACAGTGTGGCATTGTTGCAAAGAAAGCTAACAGCATACTGAGCTGCATTAGAAGGAGCGCTGCCAACATATTGAGGGAAGTAATTATTCCCCTCTAGTCTGCCCTGGTGAGGCCACATCTGGAGTACTGTGTCCAGTTCGGGTCCCGCACAATAGAAAGGATGTGGATGAGTTGGAGAGTCCAGCAGAGGGCAGTGAATATGGTTTGGGGGCCGGGGCACATGACTTCTGAGGAGAGGCTGAGGGAGCTGGGCTTATTTAGTCTGCAGACGAGAAGGCTGAGAGGGGATTTAATAACAGCCTTTAACTACCTGAAGGGTGGTTCCAAAGAGGATGGAGCGAGACCAGGGATAGGCAAAGTCCAGCCTGTGGGCTCAATTTGGCCTATGGCAGACTCCATTTCCCAGCAGCCCCCACCTGCATCGCTCTAGTTAGTTGCCATAGTTAGCAGCGGCAGTGTCGTGACAGCGCAGGGCTGGGTTTTCCATGGAGACTGGCCCCGGCAGTGCTGGCAGGGCGTCCGGCTGGGTAGCGAGCTACACCAGGGCTTGTGGTGGTGATAGCGCAGTCTGGCGCTGGGGCACAGCCATGATCTGTAGCCTGCATGCCCTGGCCAGGGGGCATGCGGGCAGTGGATCATGGCTCTGTCCCACTCCAGACCACACTGTCGCCAATGCAAGCTCCCTGCCCAGCCATGTGCCGTACCAGCGCTCCTGGGGCCGGTCTGTGTGGAAACCCTGGCCCCTGCTGTCACACCACTGCCACTGCTGGGGTTTCCATGGAAACTGGCTGCAGCAATGTGTGCAGGGACTGCTGGGAAATGGAGTCCAGCTGCCAGCTGGATCTGCTATTTTGCCCACCCCTGAACTGGACTGTTCTCAGCGGTAGAAGATGGCAGACCAAGGAGCAATGGGCTCACGTTGCTGGAAGGAAAGCTTAGGTTGGATATTAGGAAAAACTTTTTCACTAGGAGGGTGGAGGTAACTGGAACAAGTTACCTCTCCATCCATGGAGGTTTTTACGGCCCAGCTCGACAAAGGCCTGGCTACAATGATCTATTTGGGGATGGTCCTGCCTTGAGGAGAGGGCTGGACTAGATGACCTCCTAAAGTCCCTTGTAACCCTAATTTTCTATGATTCACACCAGTTGCTACCAAAGCCCCATACAGGAGTTTTAACTGGACCCAGTTTCTCTCCACCAAGGAAAACTGTGCTGGCCTCAGCCTTTTCTAATTATTTTTATTCACCTGATCAAGTGAAGCATTTTGCTGACATCTTGGAAACACAGGATACAAGATGTGAAGAATAGAAATAGTACCAAAGTCAATTTACACCTCATCAAACCACTGGCCTGCTCACAGTAAGCAAGAGAAAGCAGACTTGAGCCTAACAAAATAGTGCATGAAATAGGAAAAGAATTCCATAAAAAAGAAAGCAGAGAAAACTATCGTTTTCAACAGTGGTGGCCAGAGGGTACTTGACTCTTTTCAGATCTTCCATAAAATAGCACTAGTGCCAATCTCTAGAAACCATGAAGCAAGGCTGACTGATTTCACTCTAGATAAGCTGCGAAAGAGAGATTCAAATCATATGTATGAACCATGTATGAGGCTCTGTATTACATGCAATACATATTGTGTTCTTCGGCAAAGTGAGTATTTCTCAACACCCTGACCACTTGTGAGCAATAAAAGCTTCCACTGCACTTTTGCAAGAGTTTGCAGTGTTTGTCCCTGTCCTCTTGGCCACATTTCAGCTCCCAGGTGGAACTTGTCAGACTCTGCGGGCAGTGACTGACTACTTGCTTCTCCTACCCTGAGTGCTGTCATTGCACAAAGAACTGTCTGTTACATCCTAATTTGCAGAGAGCCTTTAATTAATCATTAAAACTCAGCATGGAGCATTACTCCTGGCCAGAGGACTACATCAAACTGATACTCTCAAAGGTCTCATCTACCACACGCTGGGTCTGGAATAAAACCCAGACTGGATTCTTCATAGATGCTGTTGCTCCAAAAACTTGATCTGGTGGATAGACAGAAACAGCTCCAGGGCACAGGGATTTTATTATTAGTATTGATGAAGGAGTTTGTTATTAGAAGTGATGAAACCTAATCATGAAATTCGGGTCCTCGTGAGGGGGGGTGGATCATTGAAAATAACAAAATGGAAGGAAGGAAAGGAGATAGCGTTTCCTTCCATTCTGATGCTCGGAGGGCTTAGGCTGTAGTGGGAGGCCTGAGGCCCAATCTGATCTGAGGGTCATTACTCAGGTATAATTTCTCTCAACTTCCAGGCAATTCACACAGACACATCAAGTAAACAATGTTTTGATTGGATGAAAGCTGTTGGGGACATCAATCAGGCAGGCCAGCCTGAGTCAAGTACCTTGGCAGTCAGGCTTGCAGTAAGCCTCAGCTCATGAGCTCTTGCCCAGTTCAGGAGCAACGAGCATCCTGCTTGGCTGCTGGGGGACACTGCCTATCCATTGAGCACCAGCTGGGACCCTGGGTTTGCAGGCCACTCAACAGTGCTAGTTCCTGACTGTTTTTTGGCTTATTTCTGGACTTGGCTTTCCCTGCGTATCTGTTTCCTGGCTCCTGCCCCCGCTTTGGCTCTGTTTTCAGATTTTGCCCTTTGGATTGCCCCTCAGACCGGACTCTGAACTGTGTTGTGGACTCTGCTTCCAGATTTTCCTTTAGTTTTGGTACATGGCTCCTGCTCTTTGACCCAGCCCCAGACCCTGCTTTCCGTCTTTAGGCCAGGGTGCCTACAACCTAACTGTTAGGCCAGGCTGCCTTCAACCAGGTCCCTTGTGAAAGAGTTGGTAAAAACAACATAGGAACCCTAAGATTCTCTTGTAGATGGAATGGACTTGTGCTTCCTGCTATTTCTTTATCTGAATCTATTAAAAGTTAAGAGCACTAGGATTTCTAAATCATTGGATCAATTAATCCATTCCGTGATCAAATAAATATCAATCGTGACAGATGTGAGGAAGACAAATATTGGCATAGTAGAAATAAGATTGGGAGAATGTAGAACTGTAGAAAAAAGCAATGTTACCTGTGAATAACAAAATGAGGGTGTTTCTTTACTCCTACATAATATCTCAAGGCTTTTGTTGCAGACAGAAGGAAGACAACCCATGAACACACATCAGACTGTTTGGATATCTGTCTCCCTTGATTCTGAGTTAGCATCATTAACCACAACCTATTAACGAATTGTACAGATAGCTTTCAATTACTTACTGGTAGCTTATTCATAAAAACATTCATGGGCAAACGGCTTAAGGCAGCAATTCTCAACCAACTTGCCATAGCACCCTGGGATGCCATGAAGTATTAGCACCACTAGGTGTTTAATGGTGGCAAACCAAAGGGTGCCATGAAGTATTAGCACTGCTATGTGTGCAAGCATCTCCATGTGATTCGTAAGATAAAGATTTCAAATAGGAATCCATAGTGTCAAAAACATTCTGTTGCAGTCTTTTGAAGCTGTTTGCAACAGAAGAATTACCCTATTATTTTTCCATAGTCAAAAAAGTTTCAAAAGCTAAGAGCTGACATTTCTAAGGGGTGCCCGGAGTGTAAAAGAGTTGAGAACCACTGGCTTCAGGTGTAGTGGCAAGTAGTGCATGTAGAGTTATCCAGTTTGCAAGTACAAATAGTTGTTCACACATGGCTTTCTGAGGGCACTCTTTAGCAGCCCATTCCATGATGAAGGTCTGGGAAATTTGGCCACCAGGTTACAGAAGATCAGCCAAATATATTTTTCATTGTGCTTTAATTCTAACCTGCTTTTTCTCTTCCACCTAGATGTGCCATTTGGTCTGCAGACAGAGCCCCAGATCACTGCCATTGTGGGAAGTGACATTCAACTGACCTGCAAAGCCTCCAAGTACATCTACAACCACCTGGACTGGTATTACCCCTCCTCAGAGGTTGTCCCCAGTGCCTTTAGAAATAAGAGCATTAACAACTACTCCATCTCCTTGATGCTGGTCATTACTAACATCACACAAGACCATGCCGGGTTGTACAAGTGCCAAGCTCAGAATCAGCATAATTCCACTGACATGCTGGAGCAAACTACGCAGCTTGTTGTCAAAGGTAGGTTTTGCCAACGGACAAAGGTAAAGGTGATGTAAAGGTGCTATAAGCAGAGGTGCTGAATATCACTCCCACTGATGTCCTAGGATGTGGTGGGTGCTCAGCACTTCCCAGATCAGTCCTAATATGCATGTATATGCTCAGTATTTAGCTTTCAGTCATATAAAGAGTTGAGAACACTGAAACATTTTTATAAGTGTAGTCTGTAATGGTTTCAGATGCCCCTGGTCTGTAAAAAGTGTCAGGGGACCTTAAGCATCCTATGCAGAAAGGAAGGAATTCCAGTAACATTTTATGCTCCTGACACCCTACTGGGACCCTGGTTTAGTGCTGACTCGGAGGACATAGCCCCACTGGCTATATTACCAACAGCACCCCCGCATATTCCTTAGGATGGCCCACCCCAGTTCTGCGAGTAAAACATCTAATGAGATTACATCCCAGGAGACTGCCATGGTTGTGTGTAATGTTATTTAGCTTTGGACTAGTTAAATACATTTGCAGGAACATATAATCAAATGGCATTTCCTATGTACATGCTGTGATCAGTGGACAGCTTAGATCAAAAGCAATTTTATCTATACCTGGACTCCAAGAACCTGTTTTTTCCCTTTTAATCTTATATCAGTACTATTGCATGGCCCAGCATCCCTGGTACCTCTGAATATTGAAACACAAAAGACTTGATTCTTCTCTCTGCTGCCGAGGCTAGGGCCAGTCCACTCTGTTTTGATCACAGTTGTGTTTGTACAAAGTAGTTGCTAACATTGTTCCAGTGCAGTGGCCCTGACCAGGGCAGACAGAAAAATTATTGTGATCCCACCTACCCACTCACACAGAAAATTACCACCCAAACTGTAGCTGTAGCTGCCATGGTTTTGTTAGCTGTGTGGGTGGTGACATTAAGTCAGTTAATTCTCTGTGTTTCCAAAGATGTAAGGTAGGGAAACAGAATCCATCTCCTCCTGTTATACCCAGACTTCATGTCTGTTCTGGCCTTGTACTGATAACTAGTTTCATAACTTGTTTCCAGAACAGCTAGACTTTGAAACACTGGGCCCTTTTCTGCACGCTGCATCCAAACGATTCACTTGCTTTTCCCCTTGCAGATATTTTTATTCACTTAATCAGTTTTCCACCTACACAGACACCTACACACAGTGGCTAAGGGAAAAAAAATGCATCTAAGCTGTTAGTACATGTATGAAAGAACTTGAATTTTGAATGTGCCTTCTGTGAGTTATTACTTAGTTTCTGTCATTGGCCTCTAGTGCCCGAGGAGAAATTCTCCTTGAAAACATGCTACATGAAATGCCACTCAAAAACTTCCTCTGTGTAAAACTAGCCATGTGGATCTTTCAGGATCCCTTTCATACTATGCACACAGCTTTTCCTCTTCCTTGACTGCCCTGCACATTTTGAACTGGATTTGTTGGTTGGTTGATTGGTTGTGTTTTTTAAATGATATAATTTGAGGTGTATTCACATTTGTTCTGCCCTTTGCTAATCATTCACACCAGGTATGCTGAGGAAACCTTGCCATCCTGAGCTTTGCAGGAGCATACACGACAAGGGGACAAGCACACATAGCAAGGTGCAGGGCAACAGAAAAGCCTTAGAATTTCTCCATTTTCCTACTTTCCTCACGCTCCTTCTATATTTGCTCTGCCCACTCTGTTTGCTTATGATTCAGCTCTGTATCAAACTTAAGCCAAGTGTTGTTCCCCCAACAACAGCAAACCTTTGCTGCCTCCAGGCTGCTAAGACAAGGTGTTTATTTGGAGATACTTAGGTAGATCTGTAAAAGAGGCATTCCTAATGCTGACTGTGAATTGTTTTCCTTTGTGAATGCAGCAAAGGCGGTGCCATATATTATTCAAAACCTCACGGACCTGGAGGTTAACATCAGCGGCAAGATCGTGCTGGAGTGCAAAGCAAATGGAACCCCGACACCTCACATTACGTGGTGGAAAAATGGCTATCTCATTTCACCTGCTTCAGGTGAGCCTGGGGAATGCTGCAGTGCTGTATGTGAGAAAAGAGAGATGGTGGTGATGAGAAAGGTCTCACAGGTTTGCAACATACTTATGGCCCAGTTTTCCACTGCCTGGTACTTTGGGCAGTCATTTACAATGATGCAAATAACCGTACAAAAGGTCCCAGCAGGTGGAAGACCTTTACAGACTGCTGATGTGGTCTGCATATGGGATTTTAAGGGCCCACACTAGCAGCCAGAGCCTGATCTGTATTTCTCCGGTGCCACTGATTGTGCCCACAGCATTGGCTATGTGCTTTCTCAACATACACAAAACTGACTCTTGCAAGATGCTGAACCCCTTGCTACCCAAGATGAATGCTTGTGTGTACTAAGGTGATCAGGACAGGGGGATCCATTTGCTAAAGTGTTTAGGCCATGATCCAGAGTCTGCTGGAGTCGGTGCTGAGCTCTTCTCTAAGAGTCAGACCCTTAGTGTGCTGTCCAGTATAATTACTGTGTTTCTTTATTTCCCTCAGGCTAACAGTCCAGAGGAGTGGCTGTTAGATCACACAGTGCACAGCAGCACAGGGCTGCTGCAAGACAGCATGGACTCCCTTGTCTGAGCTTGGAAGTCTTTCCAAGTGTCTCTACCCTGAGGTTTCCTTCATGTCACGGAGAAACTGGTATCAGTAGCCAGTCCTCTGACTTTAATTTTGCATCTTGGGTAGGAAGGAAATCTAGGATCATCCATAATTCAGATCAGACTGTTCCAGGCAGAAACTCTTTACAGCTACTGAAATTTCATAAATAATTCTAGAGGGACAAGCATGTAACTCATCCAACCAATGGAAACATAAATAAAATATCTGAAAAAAACACCTCAGGGTAAATATTTCAGCACCGTGCATGGCGAGTTATGTGTACAGCTCTTGTTAACAACAACAGGATTCATGGGCAGAACACACTGCACACTCCCCTTTGGATTCAAGGCCCAGCATAATTCCCTTGCTCTGCTAATTGCATCTTCTTAGCAAGCCGGTTAGCTTGGAATCCCATTTACAGAGTCAGAGAAATGAAAACTGGAAGTGGCTGGTAGGTCACAACTAGGTAATCTCTCCTCCCTGTGAATGCAGGATGGTTTTAGAGAGTTAGTACTTCAGGGCTTTGCCCAGACACCCCACTTTAATTACCCAAGATAATGGGGCTTCCATTGTTTCTTTTTGGAGGCTGTTCCACAGTTCATAAACTTTGCTGTTTCTCTTATATTTTTCCTCAGGCTTCCTTTGCTGCATCCAATTTAACACACTGGTTGTAGCACCTCAGATCACTTTAAAAAAATCCCTTCTTGCTGTGCCCTTTCCAATGTCATCTTCAAAGCCTTTTTGTCTAACCACAGAGCTGTGATGAATACATTTGAATGACCTTTTCCTCGTATCATGTTAAGTTTGGGTTTGGGATCAAATCTTGCTGTGAGTTATGCAGGTGTAAAAAGAGCCCATACAGTGCCCAGTCTTGTCCCCCACTGCTGTTGATTAGATATTCCCCACTGACTCCCATGAGAGCAGTCTCAGGCTCCACGTTTAAAATAAATGAATAAATATATTTGTTATAGAGAGGCTGCTAAGTGATCTCCATGAAATTTGCATGACAAATATGTTAAGAGTACATGGCAAGGAATGGGTTTGCATCATATCTGCATTAACAAAAGCGCATGTAATATGTACAGTGTTCAAAATTGTCTTCTGGCGGCTACCAGCAGTACTGTACCAGGTCTGCAGGGACCTGGGAAGTCATTTGTAACAGATTTCCATTTAGAAATTATGTATTACAAATACCTTATGTACTGAAATTAAACTATCCCCCAATGCAGGGATTTCCATGGAAAATAATACCCTGATCATTGAGCGAGTGAAAAAAGATGATGAAGGCCTCTACGAGTGCAGGGTTTCTAATGAAATGGGCCATGACAGTACAATGGCATTCATTAAAATAGAAGGTGAGGCTGCAAGCAAATGCACAAGTTTGGTGATACGGGCATGGTTTGAATGATATCCTTCTACTATCCCAAGGCAAGAATTGTTTCAAGTGTGGGGGAATACATTTTAAAATAATAAACACACACACACGTGCACAACAGGTAAGTTAAAAGTAAAACTTAAAAATTAAATTGAACTTCTTTTTGGTCCTGGAAGCTTATAGTTCCATGATGATGAAGAGCCTGAAGCATCTCATTAGCGCTTCATGTCTAGAACACCTTGATGAGAATCCTACCCAAGACTCAGTGTGGTCTTCATGCAAGGAGTTGTGTAATGCATAGGTTCTCAACCTTTGAGGTTTCCTTAAGTTTCCCTCCTATTTAGCCAGGATCTAGCTGGGACCATCTCCCATTCAGCCAACTAAGAAGAGCAAGATGGCTGGAACCTCCTGGCCTCTGTTTATGATTTCCATGTTCAGAACCACTCACTTAATGCCTCGAGCACTTGGCATTGATACTATAAAATAATACCTTTTAACCACGAGCCTATTCACATATTGTTCCCCATATATGATCCATGGTTACCTATGGAGATCTACTAAGTACTGCCTACTGCTGGTGAATAAAAAGACACCAGCACAGTTCATTGATTTAATGTCTACCTCTTTAATGAAATAAAGCATGCTTTGTGGAATTGCAATTATTTTATCAATGCAATTAATTCAGAATTTGTTCTTATGTTTAACTTCCAGGTTCTGAAGAGAAATCCAATATTGAAGTTATCATTTTGGTCTGCACTGGTCTAGCAGCTACTCTCTTTTGGTTGCTTCTGACCCTTTTCATTCGGAAACTTAGAAAAGTAAGAGGTCTTCCATATTGTGGAAATGGGACACAATTGGCCTCCGAGCTCAACTCCAATTCAAGCCAAGCCTCAGAGTTCAGAACTGAGGTCGAGCTGGCACTAGGGTTGGGGACAGATGGTGAAAAACTGTATGAGCTGTTCTTGTAAAATTTCAGGCAAAGATTTCTGTTGATTACTTACCTGTAATCTCAGGAGATTAGTTCTACTTATAAGAATTTTACCCTCTTGCTTGGCATCCAGTGAGATCAGGAAAAACAGGTTGCTTCCACCTTTGGATTCAAACTGAACCCAAGAGCATTAAAGCAGGTTTGGAGACAGGCTTTCAATCTAAAGGCCCTAAAATGAAGTTCTGGTTTCACCCCACCTCTAATAAGATTTTCCTTAAAACATAGGCAGTGGAGGGAATGCTGCTTTAAAGATGTTAGAATCTGTTTGTTTGCTCTAGAGAAGGGCCCAAACCACAAAGTTCATCTTGTTTTCATGCTTCATTACTCCTTGGCCTCTTTTCATGAGGCTCCAAAGAGTAGGGTAGGTCCTCAACTAGGTCTGAAGAAAGTTTGATAAAGTAAATCAAATTTAGATTTGTTCTTTCTTATACAAACAATAAATAGGATCTGAGAGGCTAGGACTCTAGCCTGGCCACAGCCCAAGCCACAGTCCTAATGTTAATCTCCTGTAACTCGAATGACTGACTATTCCTACTCCTCTTATAAATGTGAACCCATAAGGTTCATGTGTTCCCGGTGTGTTACCAGGACAGCAGAGGTGCCAGACCCTCTGAATCTTATGCCATCTTTTACACTTGCTCAAAGAGCTCAGATGGTGACACCAGATGATAATTCTATGCACAGTGTCATGAGGTTTTCATTCATTGTGTATTAGAATATATGGCAATATGAGGTATAGGGGTGTAGAAATTGAGGCTCCAAGTTGTCCCAGAATTTAAAAGCCATTTAAACACATTGCTAATTCATAAAACAAAGGATGCCTTGATGAGCATCCCTTAAAGGGCATTTCTCATCTGAAGGATTTTCTAGAAGCAGTGCTGAATTCCTTAAAGGAGTGCAGGTTGAGAATGATAATAGCAGGAGCTTTATGTCATCAAAGTGCTTTCAAACATTCACTAATTCAATTCTCTCAGCACCCCCAAAAGATACACATGTGTAAGTTTTCTTTTTCCCCATGCTTCATGTGTGCAAATTAAGGCAGGATATCAAAATTATAGGTCCAAGCACTACAGATGGAAATGGGTGTTGGGGCCAGGATCAGAATGCCGGGGGTGCTGGTTCCCAGGCCTGTGTTCATTCTACAATGTCATACTTCTCTCTCAAGTTAGAGCTGCACAGCAAATACTTTGACTCATTTTTTCCCATTTGCAGCCTGACGCCACAGATATTAAAACAGGATACCTGTCCATTATAATGGATCCAGAGGAAATGCCTCTTGACGAGCAATGTGACCGGCTCCCATATGACAGCAGTAAATGGGAGTTCCCAAGAGACAGGTTGCGGCTGGGTAAGGATATAGTCATCAATCATATAAAGAACAGAAATATCCTATGGTCCAGAATTTCTGTGGAGGTGTAGCATAGTCCATTAGCCCTAGTGCCAGTACACTTTCATCTTTGGACAGTGAGTCTCATTGGGAGGGATGCTGAAGGGGTATTTAGAAGAGCCAGCTTTTGAAATGGCTACCACCTTCCAAAAGAAGTGAAGGAAGACCGCTCCCAGTACCTTCCAGGGAACACCATTTGGGTATCTTACATCACTTACACAGAGAACAATGGAAATGGAAGCAGGTCTGAAAGAGGGTGGTTCTCCATGTAATTCCCTGTACAAGAACATTGTGCAACTTTCAATTATGAAGAAAAAGGGCAGAAATGACTATTCACTCCAGAAACACTGTTCAATAGGTAATAAGGACCAACTGAAAAAAAATTACTCAACAGGGCAAGTATGGGAGGTGAAGAAACGGGAATTTACAGAATAAAGAGGAGGGGGCATGTAAAGACTGTGGGTCAGGCAGGAATGTTGCACTGGTTAGGTGTGGGCTTATAGGGATTGTGGGTCAGGAAGAAATGATAACTAAGGTGCTTGTATGCAGGGAGCTGTGAATTTTCCAAGTTTGGAAAGCTTGGTGTTCAGATAATTAAACGTAATATTTTTACACTGCAGTCACTAATATGCATTCAACTTGAACTCCAGTTTAATGCTGTTTTATCTATCCTATCACATACTGCCTCACACTGAAACTATATGTATATAAACTATATTCTGCATATACATATATGGAAAGTATGTGATACAGGCTTCTATGGACTGTCAGGCCGTGCTGCGCCTAGGCTCCGGTGTCTTGTATTTCTTGCATAGCTGAGAAAGCATGTTTCTCTCTTATCTGATGCAGACTGTCATAAGTCCCCTCTGGCTCATTCTTGACTCTTTGCTTCTCTAGGTAAAACACTGGGTCACGGTGCTTTTGGGAAAGTGGTGGAGGCGTCCGCTTTTGGCATAGATAAATCTTCAACCTGCAAAACAGTTGCCGTTAAAATGCTTAAAGGTACATTTCTCTCTGAGACTCTCAGGAGACTCTGCTGGGACCACGTGAGCAATGAGGTTTCCAGTTCTCAGCTCTAAGGCAACCCCCTTCCCCTTCTCCCTCATTCATTGCATTCAGAAGGGAGTGAGGTTGCCATATGGGAGCAATTAGCTGCTGTACGGTGGATGCTAACGTGTAGGAAATGACAAGTGGGCTCCACACTGTGCTGCTGATTAAGCCTTGTATTCCTAGTGGACAAAAACAGCAGCCTCCAGGTCTGTGGGGTTAGGAGGGAAACAGATTACAGAATGTAATTGCATTACGATGGTCTGAAATTGGATCTAAACCCTCGATCCTAGCCCTTCCAGATGCAGAAAGGTTCACGCAGTTGAAAAGAGCTGTGCCAAGGGAGTGAATTAGGGACAACTCTCTGGCAATTACTGAAATGAGGGAATGCTTTTACCAGCCAGCAGTGGGGAGAAGGGGAACTTGAAGCCTAAGATGCTTCCAAATGGCATTTACATACAAAGCCTCTACAGACAGCTTATGAATAAAGTCCTCCTATGCCTTGCTGGTTGCTTGGGTTTGGGTTTTTCAACTGTTTGCATGTTTTCCACACCCTTCCCCTGCAGTAGACTAGTGATTTTTGTTGAATGGGTCTCCACTCCCTGGCCCACACTGCTGTGGATTGTTGCTGGGTGATGGCATTAACCCCTGCCACTCCAAAATCCAGGATGTGCTCGGAGAGCACAGCACTTGGGTTTTGTTGCCCGCTGCCTCTTCTGCTACTCCCCTCGCTGCCACTTCCCCCAGTGCCAAACACTCTCTGCTTGCCAGCACCACCTTTATGCACCTCTTCTGGACCTGCTCTTCTTCCTATGCAGCTGTCCAATAGGGTCTTCATATCCCTCCTCCCTATGCTGCTGGTTTTTCCATGCCATGCCCTGGAAAGTTCCCAGAGGCTTCCGATCAGTCCAGAGCTCCCCTACTCCCTCCAGCCAACTCCTGGAGCACCCACAGTACTTAATCACACCTATCTCCACCCTGTGCCTCCCAGGTTGCCTTCCCACCCCCTCACTGTTCATTAAGTGCCTTGGCAGTACCTCCATCTAATCTTCCACCTTACTCCCAGAGGAAGCAGATGGAAGTCTCTGGTGTGGGACAGTTCATTCAAGGAATAAAAGGGCCTGGATTACATAGACTGTGTTGCATTGGTTCTGCCATCTTACTCACTTCCATAAAGCACATTAATGTTGGCTTCTGAGTAGAAGGCAGCATCTAAGCACAACAGATAATTGTGAAGATTTTCAGAAAATGTTCAATTTAGGTATGATTAAGCATGCGAATCGCATCATTATAGATCAGTGGTAGATCTGCTGAAATCAATAAAGTTATTAATAATGTTAACTGAAGGCACCTGGGACTCAGAGCAGTTTACAAGACCTGAGACTGCAAAAGTGATCAGACATCTGTTTGGGGGACAATTCTACAACTCTTCCAAAAGAAGCAAAAGTTTAGTGCAAGAAATTATCTGCTACATGAATATTCATGCAGCTTTAATGCATTAAACCTTGCGTTTGGGGCCTATCTGTTCATTTGTTATATTGGCAATATTCAGTCCTTCACAAAGGTTCCCCTGTATGTACATGAACCAGTGAAGTTCTACTGCAGGACATTAATACTTTGTAAGTCACGAAAAAGAAAGGAAGAGAGTTCTAAAGGGCAAAGCATTACTCTGTTTCATACGGATCGAGACAGCAAGACGGATGAGTTCTTATCCATTTAGAAGGCTGAAAGGCAGAGATACAACAAGGAACCTGGGTGGGTTTGGTTTTCAAGTGTAAACAGGATTTTGTGTGTCTTAAAAATATCCTGTTGTGGAAAGATGGCCTTGTCCTGTTTATCTTAAGCAGAATGTGCAACTACTAATGAGTGCAAAGCTTTAATGTCGGAACTGAAGATCCTCATCCACATAGGACACCACCTCAACGTGGTCAACCTCCTGGGCGCCTGCACCAAAGCAGGAGGTAAGAAACTGGCATCCCATAAAGCACTTGGCAAATTCACATGCACTGCTTGCTCTTAACCGCTGTGCGAATTTGGCAGCTATGTTGGCCTTGCTGTCATTGGCAGGAATCAGGAAAAGGGTGTTCTGGTCCAGAAACATGCCCATTTGGCCCAGGAGCAAACACAAGGGTCTCTCAATACCTGTAATAGTATTAGGGTTTGTGCTGTGTGGAAGTGAACCACCCCTTGGGGTGTCATGACTGCGCACGTGGGATATTTCTGGCTCTCCTTTCAGCAGAAGGCGGCACTATAAAGAAATCAGCCAGCACCCTATATATTACAGAGGACACCATGCAGCTTCCATCAGCATAGGGATAGGACTTGGTCACCCTCTGAACATTTTCAAAGCTGCCACCTGATTCTTTATGCTCCAGAGTTGCCCAGGCACCTTAGTTCCCACAGTCACCTAAGCACTGGCCTACTAGTAATGATCTGCTAGAGATTTACCTCAAGTCTGAGTCCCAGAGATCTCAAAGCAGGGCTGTCTAATGAGGTGGGGGAATGACTTCCTGGCCTGTGATGCCTCAGGTGTGTTCAGAGCATGCCTAACACCTTGTACCTGCACCAGAAGGTAAAGGCATGGTGCAACACCTACACAAAAGCCAGCTGTGCCACAAGGAAGCTTAGGGTGAATGTAAAACAGCACAAGGAGGAGACGGAGAAAGAGTATCAGCCACTAGGTCTGGGCTACCCAAGTGGCTGGTTGGGCTTGGGTGCCTAATGCCAGGAAAGCACTATGGATCCAGAGCAGAGGAAAGTACCACCTATCTCTGGCCTTTCAACGGGTCAGCTGCTTCAGTACTACTGCTGTCTCCTTTCAGCTTGCACCTGAAAGTACCTCTCTTAGGATCTGGAATCTGCCTGTGCATTTTGTAGGGAGGCTGGGCCCTCATTTGGGTCTGAAAATTCAACTGGGTGCCAGGGCATCTATGAGTTAGGCAATGGAAAACCAAGGGGGGGGCAATACCTCAGGCATTTTGAGTATCTGGGCCAAAGTGAGCTCTCTAGGGCAGTGGTCTCCAAACTTTTTTGATCGCGCATCCCTATCAGTAAAAAATTTTTGAGCACACACCCCCAATATATGTTGCAATACGCTGAAAGCGAACGAACGAGTGAGGGCGCCACTGTCAACCCCTCCGCATTGTGGAACTCCCACTCTTCCCTCGGGATTCCTCGCGTACCATACGTGACACGTGACCATCTGACATACAGACCAAGCGAGGGCGCCAGTGTCAATCCATATATTAAATATTAGTAAAGCTTAATTTCTTTTTTTTTAGATAAAAAATAAATATAAATAGAAGTTCTAATATTTCTTCCCGCCCCCCCAATGGATCATCACACCCCACTTTGGAGACCACTGCTCTAGGGCTGTACACACACAGTCTGTGGCAGATCAGGGACTTGAACCAAGGACTCCAAAATCCTGGCACTCAAGTGATGTTCCCTGTCACAGAAACCTTGTTCCTCGTCTCATCATCCCATATAAAACATCGTCGTCTCCCTTGCCCTGCAGTTAAAACCATAATGGAATAATCTGTTTATCTGCTGTCTTTATGTTGAATCTTAAAAACAGTCTAGGAGGGAGGATGGAGGAGGGCTGAGGGCAAAGAAACCAGGATAAATATTAAGGGGGGAGGCGGGAGAGAGAGAGATGGTGCAGACATTTGTCATTCCCTGAGACATTAAAGCTATCGTTTTCTCAAGGAACATGTAGTTGCCAAGTAAAAGGAGAAATAAATTTTATTAAGGCAAATTTGTCAGAATGACAGGACATAAATTCTCCCCCAAATTAGACATTCACAACTCCCAAGGGAGAGGTACAGATGTGGAATCTGCAGAATGCTGAGGCGAGACTGGAAGCTGTGCAACAGCTACTAGTCTGATCTGCTGGGCAGCCGCATTTGTATGGCTTTCTAGGGCAGTGGTGCTTAACCTTTTTTGTACCAGAACCCATTTGTAAACATTGATGGCCAGTCCCGACCCAGAACCCATCATCCCCAGGCCCCAGCCTCCCAGCGTGTGGGGCAGGGGGTGGGTATATAGAGTGGGGGAAGAGGCCCTGAACAGCCCCAAGGAGCCCCTTGCAGACTGGAACTCTGCCAGCCTGCAAGGGAAAACCCACGGTTTCCCAAGTTTTTCTCCTTTAAAGGAGAATCCATTTTTAAAGTTTGTTGATCTTGCAGGATTGTTGGTTGTAGCCATGTTGGTCTAAGGACATAGGCAAGCAAGGTTCTTTGGGTAGATGTGATACCTTTTATTAGTTGGTCTGATAAAAGATATCACATCTATTGATCCATTCTTAAAGTTTGTTCACAACCCTTTCATATATTCTTGTGACCCACTTCTGGGTTGCAATCCACAGGTTGGGAAATGTTGTTCTAGGGCTCAGAGGAATGGGAAAGGAGGATACTGCCCTGTAATTGGGGAAGGAAGGTATCACCTTCTACCAGATAGCACTAAGAGCAGGGCCATCCCTGGTGAGGGGCAAATCAGGGAGACAGTCCCAGGCCCTGCACTTCGGGGGGCCCTGCAGACAGTGCCATGTAGGCCCGCTGCTGCCACTGCTGGCAAGCGGTCACCACCCCCCCTCCCCTGCCACCACCACTGGCTTCTGCAGGCAGGTGTCACCCCCACCCCCTGGCCCCGCGCAGGCCGATATGCCCCGGGCCCTACACACCTCTAGGGATGGCTCTGACTGAGAGAACTGGGAAATAGTACTGCATAGTACATCGGAGTGGTGACTTGCATGTGGATGCCCAGAACAGTCCAGAGGTACTTTAAGATCACTATCCCTTAACCAGGGCAAAAATATGGCCAGAACATTTGCACATGAAGGCCTAATCATGTAGCAAAGTCTGTCTGAATATATGTGCTCAACTTTGCCTTTTGTGAGTGCCCATTGCTTGAATGTACTCTTCTCTATGGCAGTGGTTCTCAACCTTTTCAGACTCAAGGTACTGTCCACAACTTCTATGAATTTAGTGGCACCCCATTTCAAAAACTAATTTCATTTGTTTTTTTAACTGGGGAAAATAGTTGAGCAATTCTTTTGTTGCAAAGAACTCAGAAAGACCACAGCAGGTCTCCTGACACAAGGGATTCCTATTTGAAATCTCTGGGTTTATCTTCTGAATCATGTGCAGGTGTTTGCATACTTGGCAGTGCTAATATTGCGTGGTACCCTGCAGCCACCTTAAAGGGATCTAATGGCACCCTAGGGTGCTGCAGTGCCCTGGTTAAGAATCACTGCTGGAGCCTTCCAGTCTCCTTCCCCATCTTACACTGCTCTGAACATCCTTCTGGGAGAAGAGGACTTTTGAATTCTTCCTGACTATGTACCCAAAGGAGTCACTGTTAAAGCCAGTAGTGGGAAATAAGTTGTGGAACCCAGGTTTCCCAGAAGGCATTGCAGAACATTAGCTAAGTAGTCTCCAGCTAGGCTCTGATTTGTTTGCTTTTGAACAACGCTACAGGAGACTGAAGTAGGGAAGCACAGAGCTCACAAACTAGACATTGGAATAAGACTTACCATTAAAATGTCATTTCTTAGCACAGCTCCTTGTTAAGTTTTATGCAGCCCATAATAGTATGTTGGATAATGACTGATATTAAGCATGCACATACATTATTTTAACAATATCTGCTTCTTGTAACATTGCTTTGGAACACATTGTCACCGTGTCTGATGTTAGGCAGCACTAATGCATACTATCCTGTGCTTTAAAATAAGGAAATAAAATATGAAGAGATGGGTCTAGGAAACATTTTAGAAGCGTGAATAAAGCACTTAGGGGTACTTTAAAGTTGTGCTGGAATCTTCATTTCCTTGAAGAATCCACTAGACACATTTGACTTCAGTTTCTTCAGAAAATGTTCCATTTGATCTCTTCTTCGCACTGTCAGAAGTTAGCACAAGTTTCAGGAAGTAACTTAGTGATGTGGAGGATTGGTAGTAGAGACAGCGTGATGATATGCATGAAAATAATGGGAACTAGTAACAGGATCAGAGGGGAACTCACTATCTCTCTATCCTCCCATCTTGCAGGCTCCCTAGCAGCTTGCCTAGCTCTAAGTGGCTTGCTGCTGCATGCTGGTCCCCGTTTCAGCCCCTACCCAGGATGACAGCCCAGCACCCCCTTTAGACAGGCTGAGGCAAAGGTATTGGGAGCCACAGCAGATCATCTGTCACCTTCACCTCAGAGAGCTCTATACTGAGTACTGTTGAACTGTGAGCTTGTGTTTCAGAGGTGCTGAGCATCTCTGACTGCAACTGTAGTCAGTGGACACTGCAGGTATTGAGCAGACCTGTTGCACATGCTATATCCATAGTTGGACTTCAAGATCCTTAGAATGAACTGGGGTTACAGAAATACACGGTGTTATTATAGGTCAGTAACTAAGACTCTTCTTCCCTTTTGCCTGTGATGGCCACTTCCAAGTGCTCATTTCCACCCACTTTGTTATTTTGAGCCAGGACACAGCAAGCAAATACAAACTCTCTTCCCTCCTTTGCTTCTCCTACTTCCAGCCCTGTGTTTGCAAAATTATTTATGTCAGACTGAGTCAAATGGGCAGACCACAGCACAAGCCTGGGTGTTTGTTTCTGACATGTAGATAAGAGTTTGTTGCTTAGGATTTCCCTTTGTCGAATGGCCTGGTTCAGCTCTTGGCATTTTTCCTTTGAAGTTGGAGCTCACGAGTCTGAATTTGAAGTTTCCAGACAGGATAGGATTTATAGACATAAAAGGCTGACCACTTTGGATGGGTAATAATAGGTGTTTACATGCATTCTAGTCCTATGACTTCATCTTCTTCTACATCTGAGACATTTTATATGCTGCTTTCTAAAACCTGGTGATGGTACAGTGCAGGCTAATGGCTCAGAGTGCAGTTTTGTCACGCTGCACCTTGAGATCCAAAAACATTTCCAAATACATCTAAAAAAAATCACCTGTGGTTATGAAAAGGCATTTCTGTGGAACGGAACAAAATGCTGCATTGGAACAAGAAAGGAAGGAACTGACATGTCCGTCTATGAGTTCAATACTCTTAAACTAAATGTTTTTGAAGACTTTGGGATCCAGCTGGTGTCATAGACAGAGCTGACTGTTTGTTACCTCCACTGGCATGAAGCCCTGGATTACACAAACAGACTCACAGACAGACTGGAGAAGCTAGGGAGTTGCTCCATAAAATGGGTTCATGCAGATATAAAAGGATTACTAGCATGGGGGATGGTATGCTCTCTTCTGTCATCTTGGACTTTCCTTTTTTTGGAAAAAAGGAATCAATTCCTAATAACTGAGGAAGCTTAGGACCCAAGACTCGTAGGTTCAATTGCCAACTTCCTACCTCTGCTACAGATTTGTTGTGTGTGCTTCACCTCTCTACTACCCAGTTTCATCATCTCTATCAGGGAAATGACATTTACATATTTCACAGCAGGAATTGAGAGGCTGAATTGATGTTAAGCACTTTGCCCTGCTCTAAAGCCTTTCTGCAGCAGGAACACTGCACTATACAGTGTTGCACTTTTACATGTCTGAAGACTCCTTTCGTTTCATTCTCTTTGCAGGCCCTTTGATGGTTATAGTTGAATATTGCAAGTATGGAAATCTGTCCAATTACTTAAGAGGCAAACGTGGGGATTTCATTGCATACAAGGTAAAGCAACTAGATTTTCATGAAGTTACGAGATAGCTAATTTGTGATCATATGACAGCACCTACTTAGAATTAGGTTTTATTCTCTACTTGCTACAAGGGGTCTAAGTTTTATCTGAGATCCCAACTTCTTCCATCCAATTCCAACCTGTCCAGGGTGGAAGGGGGGAGAATGGACCCTTTTCTCTGAAGGATCCCATTCTAGTTCCTTCCTTTCACTCACCTCCAATCTCTACTGTGTAATCCATTACAAATGCTCATGTAAACTTCAAGAGCTGAAATGGGACACATTAGGGTGCTACCTTGCCACCACCAGGCAGAAAGGAGGAAAAAAGAACAGTGAACAACTGGTCAAAACCACTGTGAAAGGAGATACGAAGCCAGCCATCTCTACCAAAGGACAAAGCACAGCAGATAGCACCTTTGGGAGCCCAAAGTTTCTAAAACTTATAGACCACTGATTTAGATCCTACCAGGAATCTGGATCCTTCCCAGGTACCACACAAGTCACAGCATGTGGGTTTTCCAGACAACTCTAACAAGTGTTGTTTCATCTGCTCTGCATGTACAATAAAACACAGGTGGTGCCTTTGTGAGAGGAGGGGATTTTCCTCATTACCTGCCCCTGAGATTCCTCTCTCACTCTTATTTTTCATGGGCTCCAGTGACTGGTTGTAACTTCCTTTCCTAGATGTGGCTGCACTTCACTGCTCTTGCAAAATCCTTGTTATGATGATCCCATCGCAAGGTCCTTTTCCAAATTCCAGCATGTCATTCCATTAAATACCCATGAGTGCTCAGGCACCCTAAGATCATTTCTTATTCTCTTTTTGAAATGTTTAGTCCCAGGAAAACTCGGACCAAGGAGAGAAGAGTCTGGATGAGTCCAACAGTGATTTAACAGAGCTGATCAAGAGACGCCTTGAGAGTGTAGCCAGCACAGGAAGCTCTGCTAGCTCAGGGTTCATTGAAGACAAGAGTTACAGTGACTCTGAGGAGGATGAAGAGGGTAATTGAAACTCACTACTCCCATGTCCTTTCTTACAGATTTCTGTTGTTTCTGACTGTTTCTGCAAGGCACACCTGTTTTAGAGAGAAGCCTTGCTTTAGTTGTGGGTGGATCCCGTAAGTCAGGGGTGATTCCTTTTTTTATGTGTACTCCTACCCTTAGACTCAGTAGAGTAGAACTGCAGTAGCATGCATTCAGACCATCTGCTTCTTCCATGTAGGAGGGATATTAGCAATATTTTGGCAGAATGTTTTTGTGGCTAAGCTGTCCTTCCAGAAGTAATCTTCACACAGCTGAGTTAAAAAGGGCACCCATACTTTTCTCCCCAAATGTCACTTTTATAGGCTCTCCAGAACTGGGAGATATGGTTTACACAAGAGCTTTCCAAAGTTATTTTCCTCTGTATCACAAACCTGTATCCTCTAGGTTTTGACATTTCCGTGGTTTCTTCTAGATACCGAGGATCTGTACAAGCGACCTCTGACCTTGGAGGACCTGATTTGCTATAGTTTCCAAGTGGCAAAAGGCATGGAATTCCTGGCCTCCAGAAAAGTAAGCTTTCCTTCTGCTCCATCCTTCTTTTTTATGCCTTTGTGGTTCATTCATTAAGACATTAGGACTAAGTTTCTTTCATAGTATGGAGATGAAGGAACATACTATTAAGCCTGATTTCTCCTCTCACTTTCTCTTATCTTGCATTATTGTACCTCCACCAACTTTTCTGGCTGAACTGAATTAATTAGTAATATTGATAGGACTACGAAGAGAGTTCCCATCTGGTGCATGGTTGGATAGACAGCGTTTGTGACCTGGGGCCTTAGCTGGAAGAGAAGGGGAAAAAAAGAAGGCATTATCCATATTTGAGATGAAGAAATCTGTCCTGGGGAGAGAGAGGAAGACAGAGTGGAGGGACGTGGGGGCAGGGAAAAGAGAGAAAAAGAGAGAGAGAGAGAGAGCTTCTGCATGAAGAAAAGGATTTCTGAAAGTTTAATGGGAGTGTGTACATTTATAAGTGTGTAAGTTTAACTTGCCAGTACTTAATTGTTGGTGATTGACAGCCAAATGAATGCCTTATTGTCGTGCCACTGTGTTTATGTCCATAGTCTGTAGGAAACATTTTTAAAGATGGTAAAATAGGATGCAGGTGCAAACCTATCTACAGACTTGTTGGCTTGTATGTATGCACGTGGTTGCTAAAACACCGCACTCAGTCATTGAATTCTGTGCACAGCTTTGCCTATGTACAGTTGTCCAACTTCACGTACGCACGTGGTAATTGCATTTGCAAATGTAGCTGCATTGGCTTTTGGCCCATAAGATTTAACAATTAACTGGGGAGCTACAATTCTATTCAGATCCTAGCTGTTTGAGTAGGAGTATGAGAAATAACAGTGTTTCTCAGTTTTTTCCCCTCTGATGAGTTATTTTCCTCTGTATCACAAACCAGTATATTTATGGTAGGTTCCCACACACACATCTTCCCTCTCCAGCCTGGTCATTTTTCTTGCAGTTTTCAAAGAGGCCCAATGCTTTTCTTGTCAGTAACAGCCTGTTGTCCAAGCAAACCCTGTGATCTCACTTGTTCTCATTTCTTCATAGTGCATTCATCGGGACTTGGCAGCAAGGAACATCCTTTTGTCTGAAAACAATGTAGTTAAGATCTGTGACTTTGGCCTAGCGCGGGACATTTACAAAGATCCTGACTACGTCCGGAAAGGAGATGTAAGTGAAGGGGGCTTGCAGGGTCAAGCTAGAACTCTACTCCCCGAAAGGACTGGGCAAATTAATAACAATGATTCTGGCTATGTGTCTTTTTCATTCCTAGGCAAGACTTCCTCTTAAATGGATGGCTCCAGAAGCTATTTTTGATAAGATTTATACAACCCAGAGTGATGTATGGTCTTTTGGAGTGTTACTATGGGAAATATTCTCACTAGGTAAGATTACAACTTTTTTCATATATATGGAACAGTTGTTGCACAGAGTTTTAACAGAAAAGCAAAGGGCACTGAGGCACACTCTGTTTTCAGCCAACAGTGGCTCTGCTTGGCAAAATTTGACCTATAATGAATGTTAAAAAAAAAAAAGGATCTTGGATTTGAAATTTGTAATAATTTGTAAAAAAACCAGAAGAGCAGGCAGCAAATATAAACCACTACTGCCCTGAACTAAAATGTTTTTAAAGTGGTTGAAGATTCCCTTTCAAACCCTATTTTTCCACAAGAAGTCTCTGCCTTCAAATCAGAAACCACACCACTTATAGGTTGCAGAGAATTATACCACTGTTGACACAGTGGTCTGATATTGCTAGTGGAAGTCCATAAACCACAAAGGAGTCTGTGGGTATGAGTTAACAATTGTAATAGCTGGCTTTTACCTTTGGCTTGATTATGCCTTTCCATGCAATGCTTGTAAGAAAAAAAAAGGCCATGATGCCACATGTTGGATGCAGGCATTATAGTGCTGATGGGAGAACCAGTGTTTGTTCTATGTGCAAGTCATTCTGGCAGCAGTGCATAGGTTGCATCCTCCTATGGCTGCACTGTTTTCAGGCCACAGCTTGTGTTGAATAAGGACATTAGTGCTTGAGTTGCTTCATCCTGTATTTAGAGGGCACAAGACTTCTTTGAAAGCTTAATTCATTTTGATAATCCAATGGATGATCCTTTCTTAATCCAACAGGTAAAGCTTCTGAACTCAAACAAGCAATCTCACTTCTAGGCAATGGAATCCTGCTGTTCAATCAACTGTCCCCTCCACCCTCCTACAGAGTGGCATATTCTTTTTCCTCAAAAAGTATAGGGATTGCAGTGAGTGGCTTCCTCATAAACATTTTAAGGGCAAACAACTAGCCCATGCATTTATGCTTCTGGGTTCTGAACAGCTCTATGTGATTCTCCAAATGCTTCTGGTTTATGGAGTCAATTATGTGACTAAGGTGTCCAGCCCAGAATGGTGCAGACTGCAGGATTTGCCAAAAGTCTATGGTTAAGCTAATTATGGAAATAATAGGGTGGGGGAAGAGAGATCAGAACCTGATTTGAATTGCTTCAGATCTCAGGGTTGCTTGGCTATCCAAAAGCCTTTGGTTTGGGTTCATCTCCAGTTTATCCCAGCTACACCAAAGAGAGACTTTATGGTACAACACAGGACAGGGAATCACAGCTTTCTCCAGTTTTGCTGTTTCTCTGGCCTTAGATCCAAGTATCTATTTACACTGATGGGATTCTAGTGTAACACATACATGGCTGCGAAAAGGCTTCACAGTTGTGGGGGATGCCCTTGGGTTCAGACACTCTGGAAATGTGGAGCGAGACAAAAACTAGAATTCAGAACTTCTAGCTCCAAAAGCTTCAGCAGTGGCCCCATGCCAGCATATCATTAAGGGAAGTATATTGGCATGCAGAGAGGTATTTAATGGGACAGCCCCTCTGTGGGAGCGTCTGCAAGGAACCAGTGAACTGAACATGTGTGGATGGCAACAAATGCTTCAGGAACCAAAAGTGTTGCTGTGTGGGAAAATAACTAGCCATTCCCCAAAGACTGAGTGGTGCTTAACCAGCATGAAATTCTAAGCACTTGGCCTTTTAATACTGAAGATGCCAAATAAAGGTTAAAAGATTAAGATGAAATTCAGTGGGTATATATTTTAGTTATTTTGTTTTATTGCTCTGGATATTTTTTTAAAATCATTCTAAGTTACTTTCTGATTTTTTGTTTTGTTTTGAATGCCCCCTTTTATTAATGAAACTACTTAATTGGGAAAAGAGACCGTCTTTTCTGAGCTCAGAGGAATCCACTAAATTACTGCAAGGTTCACCATGCAGAGAGTTTCCTCTGCCCTTGTTATGATGTAGATCACAAACCACTTTTTTCAATCCATGGCACTGATTCAAAAACCAGTCATTTTCCTTAAGAGGGTTTTTCATAAGGATCATCCAGGCATGTCTGTGGTTTGGCACCACTCGTATCTGCAGTTCACATGATAAATATTTAATTAAGGATTTGTGTCACTGATTGAACTTCTTATATAAAAGTTTTACAGATCATTGAGAGTCGGAGTACGGAAAGTTATTTGTCTTTGCTACAGGGTATGTTTTGGCTCTGTTCCACAATCACTGCTTTTTCTGGGTCCCAAAGATGCAGTACCTTTGAAAAAGGAAGAGAGATTGACTAGAAAAATGCACAGTTTGGTTTGGACATGGGTCCTGTCAGGGCCAAAAGTTGAATCTGGAAAGGGAGCACCACAAGCTTCCTCTGAAAGCTTTTGGGAGACCGGACCAATGCTGCTGATGAACAGGGAAACCTGGACAGTAGGGACTGCTAATCTTGATTTTGTGCTTGGTTTTGCATTGGGCTTTGCTACTAATTATGTAAATGGGGTCAACGCGCTTGGTGGGACAGAAAGCCAGCAATTTTAAATGCATTTTGAAATCAATTACATGGCACATTGCAGAATGTCAGTCTCTCCTGGAATTTAAGTTTGCAGTGTTTCAAAAGGCAATCAAAGGTAATTATGTAAACAATCAGTGCTTGGTAGTGTAACATCAGCATTGTATTATCCCAGTAGAATAAAAGTGAGCTAAAAAAAAACGTTATTTAATATCCAGCACATGCCACATCTTTGAGCATTTTGCAGGAGAATTCCTCTAAAGAAAATGTCATGTATTGACCTTTCTTATACATTTGAACCCACTTTTCTCTCAGTCTGTCTGAAGAGCAAAAATCCAAAATTCATTATGCAGGTGCCACAGTTCAGATGATCTACAGTGGTGGAGAGGGGGCTTTAACACCTTCCATTTGAGATCTGAGCTGGGGTTAGCAGTGGGCAAAGTACTGAGTGCCAAAAAGTTTGCAGTCAAGAATCAAATCTCTCTACCTTCCCTCTACTCTCCTTCTCACCAGTGTATTGCAGCAGGGTCTCAAGGATAGCAGCCTCTCAAATGCTGAGGTCTTAGGTACATACTATAAGCAAGTGGAGCAAGCTCAAATTTCCAACCCAACTATCTGCCACATACCATGCTCTTCACATCAATGTATATCAATCATCACTAGAAAATGCTGCCCGATAATCTAAGACACTTTGAGTTAAGTGTCTCCAGCCATCACTTTCCAGGCTATGGCTCTAGTACTTAACTGAAGCCTAGCTTTTAATATCAAACTCAGCTGTGGAAGGCAGGAACATGAGCAACCAGCACAATTCAGCAAGGGAGATCTTAGTATGGAGAGAATGTGCAGTGTAGGACAGCCAGAGTAACCCTTCAATTATGCTGCTCAGCTTCTCCACACAGAGATCTGTTGGCTTCACAGTCCTCTGCTTGTGACACCACAGGCACAGAAATCATTTGGCAAAGAACTGGAAAAGTTAGGCAGTCTGCATTAATATAGGACAGATACTGGCCAGGTAAGCACTAACTGTCCCAAGTCATGAGCTTCTACCCACCTCTGCTGGCAACTTAATAAATATAGGAGGCTGGATGCAATCACTGGAGAATCAATGGATCCAATCAGTTCTGCCCACAGTGCAAATTACAGGGCAGCTTGAGAGGGACTCAGCCTACCCATAAAAAGCAAGAGCCCCCCTGTAAGATTTGAAAATCATAACCTGGGGAGTCTCTGATTTTATTAAGACATTGTGAAGGGCAGCACAATTTTTTTTGCAGACCCCCTTCCCCCAAAAGTCAAAGTGTAAGAGGAGGTCAACACTATATACCTAGACTTCCAAAAGGCTTTTGATCTAGTATCCCGCAATATCCTTGTGGAAAAATTGGAAGATTATGGGCTTAACTGCTGAACAGTTCAGTGGGTGGAAAACTGGCTGCGGGGTAGGACCCAGAGAGTGGAATGGATCTGTGTCATCCTGGCGAGAAGTGGCCAGTGGTGTCCCCCTGGGGTGTGTGCTTGGTCCAATGCTTTTCAACATCTTTATCAATGATTTGGATGTAGGGGTGAAAAGTTCACTGGCCAAGTTTGCAGATAACAACAAGTTATGTGGGAGTGTAGCCATGCCAGAAGAAAGGTTGCAGATAAAAGCAGACCTGGACAGGCTGGAGAGTTGGGCGGACCAGAACCAGATGAACTTCAACACTCAGAAGTGTAAGGTGCTCCATCTGGGGGCAAACAATCCCCCACATACCTACAGGCTTGGTGGCAACAATTTGACTTGCACCACAGCCAAAAGGGACCTGGGGTAGTGATCGACCATCGCATGAACATGAGCCAGCAGTGCAATGCTGTGGCCAGCTGGTCAAACAACACGCTGACATGCATTAACCATTGCATCTCATGCACAACTAAAGAAGTGATACTCCCACTGTACTCCACACTGGTGAGGCCACAGCTGGAGTACTGCATCCAGTTCTGGGCACCGCACTTCAACAAGGATGTTGAAAAACTTGAGAGGGTCCTGAGAAGAGCCACCTATATGATGAGAGACTTGCAAGGCAAGCCATATGAGGAAAGGCTTGGGTCTCTTCAGCCTAAAAAACAGAAGGCCGAGAGGGGACTTGGTAGCAACTTACCACTACATCAGGGGAATACATCAAGGGCTCAGCGAACAATTGTTCACCAGGGCACCCTTGGGGAAAACCAGGAGTAACGGCCACAAACTCCTGGAAGACTGTTTCAGGCTTTACACTAGAAAAAACTTCTTCACAGTCAGGGTGTCCAGACTGTGAAATAAGCTCTACAAGGTCCCTTCCAGCCCCTAACAATCTATGAATCTATCATTCGAATCCTGGTTCTGCCCTGGAGAAAGCAGCAGGCTTTCTTTGTGACAACGGATACATTCAGAAAGAGTGGTGCCTTTGAAATTCAGAGTTCAGCAAACTGACCTGTCCAGGTGTGCCTTCATCGAATACCTCCAGGAGAAGCTGGAGATAAGCCTCCTGGGTTCTGTTCCCAGCTCTGGGACTTACTCACTGTGTGACTTTGGGGAAGGCTGTTCACTTCTCATTTATTCATTTGTAAACAGGTTATAGTAAGGCTCATCTATTTCAAAAGGACTTTATGAGCTGACTGAGTCTGTTCATGAAAGCCTGTAAAGACTACATGGATCTGAGCTTCTGACTGCCTTCTGAGCCTATTTGCTGAACTGACATACCCCTTTATCAAATAGTTGGGATTCCTATATCCCAAACTAAGATTTGGGGGAATCAAGTGGCAAAACCCATGCAACTCAATGATTTGAGGAACTCCCAGTGCTTGGTGCCCTCTTCGTTTCTTTTGTACGACTGTTTCTGCAAAGCCTGTTTTGCCCCTAAGTGCAGAGCACATAAAGGCAATCCTGAGCCGGAGAGCAGGAAATCAGACAGAAATGTTATAGAAAGTAAATAAACTATATACAGATTCCTCAAGAGTTGGACCCAGATTTGGATTCCATTAAATCCCCTTTGTTAAGACTAGATTAGATGTTCTTCCAAACTCATCATCCAGCCTCAGGGATGCCAAATTATGAAAGGAAAGAGCTGTGTATTATAGTCTTTGCTGGAGTGGAGGGAACCCAGAGGTGCCAGAGGAGCAGGAATTTATGTCATTTTTTGCAGTAAAAAGATAAACACAAGCTCTCGCTCACTTATGCTTTTCTCCCTTGCTCCAACTGGAGGAATACCAGAGAGGCCCCTGAAGAAGCCTGGGTTGTAGAAACCGATATCCTGAAAGGCTCTTAGCTTCTGATGCCCTATGAGTTTGTCTTCACTGCCTTGTTGTAAGGTACAACACAAGTTCTGCTCCTCACCCAATTCCTATCCACACAGACCTCCGGTTTGAGTCAAATCATGCCTGGCCAGCTGGCCAGAGTGGGTGGGCTGAAGCCTGAGGGCTGCTGACTTGGAAGCTAGGAATGTAGTGGGTATGCAGTGGCTCAAGTTACCACAACTCATCAGATGCTAAGCAGTCTGTGAGGTTTACCATATAGCTCTGGGCAGCTCAAGCATTGCTTCAGTATTCATTAACGCCTGTAAAAACTATATGGCTGTCAAGCTAGTTTGGGAAGACCTGGTGTTCTAACTCCAGATAACTGTTGCAGTGCAGACAAGCAGTTCCTTTGCCTTTGCTCCAATACTTAGACTATATTATCTACACAACAGTCAGGAGAGTGACTGTAGCTTATGTATTGGTAGAACTGGAGTGAGGTTGTAGCTGTGATGGTCCAGGGATTGTGTGAGAAGCAAGGATCTTTGTTGGTGACATCTTTTATGGGACCAACTTCATGGTTGAGATAGAAAAGCTTTCAAATGAAAGGCATTCTTCATCAGATGCCTTGTATTTGACAGCTTGTCTAACTTTATCCCGCCGTGCAGTTGGTACAATAAAAGATATAACCCACAAAGATCTTTCCCTGTAGGTTGTATAGACAGACTTGAGCAAGCTTTAAACTAGCTAGCTTTGGTATCAATAGCATGGCAGCGTGGAGGTTAGTGCAGTCTACAAAATCCAAGAATCTAGGTAAATGCTGGAGCAGTTTGCCTGTCCTGAACTCCAAGCTGCTGATTTCTACACAGCTGGTTTAAAGCTAGCCTGGTTCATCTATATAGGCCATAGTGATGCCTTTGACTGTAGTGTGAAAATATCCTTAGTTTCACCCATCTGGGCTGGATCTGTAATAATGAAAGAGGAATCTTCTTAGAGCCACAGACCCACTTGAAAATAAGCAGGCACAAATTGACGTCAGTAGGAGTGAAACCCACTTATTTTCAGTCCTCTTCTCTTTTAAAGGCCTCAGAACCTTTGTATAAACTCTCTATTCCCCCGGTCTTGTGCTGTAATAAAAGTGGCAAGTGCTGCGCAGCGTGGCTAGAGATCTCCAGTCTGACTCTATATCTAATTATATAAAATTCCCTGAGTCTATCCTGTCCACATTTGTGTGTAATGGAATAGCACTGAAGATGGCCATTTATTATATGGAACTAGGTGAAACGAGGCTTACTCTTTCCATTTGATGACTGCTGGGCAAGCTACTATGCAAACTGAGATGATGGTGCCAGTCTAGTTCCTAGAGTGCCTAAAAAACAAATGGAATTGGCACTAATTCATCCCTGGATGCAAGCTTAGGATTGAATGAGCCTTTTGACAGAGCTCTCTTAGATGTGGTCCCTTGAGGATACATTTGAGGTACATTAAACAAGAGAGAGAGTAATAGGGTGGGGTAGAGAGCTGGCCCTGATGCTGCTTTCTCCATTCCATCTCTGGGACAGATAAATCATTAATCAGCAGATGGACACCATCATTAAATTGATGGTTAAAAAAGAAAACAGGGCTGAGAAGGGATGTGCTGTTCAAAAGGTAATCGGATTTCTCAGACAAAGCAGAAGAATGTCTTTGTTGTGCCTGATGCTCCAAAGTAGAATTAATTTCTAAAGGAGAAGGTGGGGCTGTAACAGGGCTGCTCATTTCCATTAGTGTGTCCAGATTGCTGTGTTAGTATGAATTTTTGTGTGCTGAAATGCCACTGTTGTATTGGTTGAGAAGTCATTGCTGGAAGCACTGCTTCACAAGAATAAGGCAGGTGTGGGGGGCTGACCCACCTGGGCTTCCAGGCATTTTGTCTACAATGGAGGTACTATGTCTTTTGACCAGTCAGAACTTAATGACATAAGAGTTTGGGCCTGGCCCATGAGCCTTGCTCTAGCTTTTGTTCCTTCAGTAAAAATGCATTTGGTACACAAAGTGTCAATGTGAGAGTTGGGCACCTAACCTGCTTAAGGGCTTTTGAAACTCCCACTAGGCATTTCATTACCTTTGTTCATCTGGTCCACTGTGTCATTTCTGCAAAGGGCCTGATTCTGAGATGCAACATGCCTACAGTTTCCATTGCTGCAGCACCTTTTGGGATCCGGCTTCCCATTTCCGCCTGAACTGGAATAATCATCCATTACCTTGGGTATTATTTTGATTTCACTGATTTAGCAGAGAAGACAGAGCCTCTCTTCATCTATCCCAACAGGTGCCTCACCATACCCAGGGGTGCAGATTGATGAGGATTTTTGCCGCCGCCTCAAAGAAGGAACTCGGATGAGATCGCCAGAGTATTCTACCCCAGAAGTGTAAGCAATCCCACCTTTTTGGGACAACTGCTAGGGTTTAACCCATGTAAGAGGGACTTCTAGTAGAATGCTGAACTGGAGGTGGAAAGAGGGCTTGCTTACACTGCCACCATCTGTTTTCTAAATTTTGTTTGTTAAATATGGCAGGTGCATTAATACCACAATCAAATAACAAAAAACACCAAGTCAGCTACAGGGCCGAGCCACTGTTCATGTAAAAGGTTAATGGATGGTTCAAGGGTGGCTGTAGTGTATGAAATGTCTGTTCAAGGAACTATCAGGATCTCCATAACCTTGACCTTCTTTCAGTGACCCAGTCAGGTCTGCAACTTATAGTTAATCTAGCTGTGTATCAGCAACCCAGAGGGGTACTTGAAACACAGCAACAAATAGTGAAGATATGCAACCTGGAAGTTAAAGTCCTTCAGCACACTGGAATTCATTCAAACAATCATCTTCACTGGAGCTAGTGGGGGGGCAGTCATTTCAATAAGGAGACAGATGGATAAGCATGGCACCAAAAAAAAGTTGGGAAGAGAAATCTAAGGTTCTTGCAATTCCTCTGCTTTCCCATAGTTATCAAACTATGCTGGATTGTTGGCATGGAGTACCCACGGAGAGGCCCACCTTCACAGAGCTGGTTGAACGCTTAGGAGACCTCCTCCAGGCAAATGTTCAGCAGGTATGGCAGTTTCTGAGGAGATTTATGAAGAGAAGCTGCACATGTGTCTGGGTATATGTGTACATGCATATGCAGACTGTAACCAGCTATGTCAAGCAATGATATTAGATGTGACCTGGTAATGAAGCACAATGAAAATGCCTATTTGGGTGCGGGTGGGCAAGGGAAATGCTACATATTCAAAGGGAATTATGTTTCAAAAATGAGATGTTTATCCACCCATAACAAATAGAAACTTACAGTACATTAATTAAAATGAGGCTCAGTTGCCCCCTAGAGGAACAATAGCTCTTTATCTCACAAACATTTTTAATTAGTTTCCAACATTGCAACCTGCCAATAGTTTGGCTTGTTGCATACAGCAAGTTTGAACTTTCTCTCTCCCTCATTTTCTCCCCGTGTTTGTTCATTGTTGCTTTTAGAAGCTTTAAAATGAAGCAATTTAAGGCTCAAAGAGTCAATTGCATAATTGTCAATTTCATAATAGTTAAATCAACCTCTTTTTTCTCTGTTCAAGACAAAAAAGATCCCACAGATCTGTTATGTAACTGCCAAATTCATGAGAAGAAATCAAGGTTTCTCTTCATGCCCCTTCTGTTGTGGAAACTAATGAGTTAGGGAAGCTCAGGAGAGGGAGGGCAAGTTTGCAATGTGAAGAACTTGCGAGGCTTAGAGTCCAAGCAAAGGAAATCAAAGAGAATGTAGGGATTGTGATCAGGGACAGAGCAGTTAATTGAGTCTCAGAAGAGAAATCAAGCGAAGGAAATTTTGATAAATGCTTTTCAGAAGTTAAACAAAGGGCTATTTCTAGATGCAACTGTAATAATTAGGGCTTGCTGATGACATTTCATAGCTTATTATGATAGATGCTGACTATTAAGGTTGCAGTGGCATCTGTTGTAATGAGGAAAGAAAAGTGCTTTAAGGAGGCAGTATGAAGCAACATCTTGCTAAGCACAAGTTGCACGTAAGCACATTGGCTATAAAATAAGCACCGTCCATTTCAAATTCCCAGCTCAGCTATAGCATTGCTAACCACAGGTGTTCTAGGATTCTCCGTCCCTGTTTTCCTACAGCTAAACCATGGAGACTTGGATGTCCTCAGTTCCATAACAGGAGCCCTAGGGAATCCCCCAAAATGGCAGTGCAATGCAAATGTAGTTGAATGTTTAACTGAGAGTGCCTATCAGTGGACTCATTCCATGTAACGAAGGCTCACTGGCTGCTCATTTAGGCCATAGTAATAATAATAAGTGGTTGCAGACTTGTTAAGGATGCAGCATTAGGAGCCTGTAAAGGCCAGCTGCTTGCAGCTATTACAAATAAACACCATGGTGTCTCCAAAGGAGAAACCAGTCCCTGATACCACATGCTCAGGATTGCTTGGTCTTCTCAGCTGGCACGAGCAGAAGTGTCAGAACTCCTGCTACATCTAGAACCGTGGTGCTCGATCTTCTAGCCCTGTGGGCCCAGTGAGTGGTGTGGGGCCAGTCCCTGGGCTGGATTGGGCTCTGGGGCTTCCCACAGGGTTCAGAAATTTGGCAGCAGGGGAGTGGTGCCGCTGTCCCACCATCACCAAATTTTCAGGCCTGCGGGGACCCAAGCAGGCCTGGGGTTGAACATCCCTTTTCTAAAACATGGGGGGATCTGGAGGTCCCACACCCTACTGCCAAGATTTATAATGCTGTCAACCATTCTTCTTAGAAGATCTCCCAAAGTGAAAGAACAGCCCTGTGCAAAGACTACAGGGTAGTAAATGTTGGAGTAAGGCCATTAATTCTGGCTTTAGCATATTGCAGCTATTCTAAAGAAACAATCAGACACAGAACCAATATCCACTGGTTTTCCTGGTACAGAGCCCTGTTTGGGAAATGGTTCCTATGGCATGTGGCAGCCATTAATAAACCGGCTGTAACACAGGAAGAGCTGATCCTCACCAAGTGTATTCCTTCTGTATTATGAAATGTGTAGGATGGCAAAGACTATATTCCACTGAACATCACATTATGCCCTGATGGAGAATCTAACCCAAAAACCTGCCCAGTGGAAGACAATTTGAGCAGCCGCATTAACCGCTGGAGTGCAGTAGAAGCAAGGTGAGGAAAATGCTTTCTTATGTTGGTCTAAGTTAAGAATCTAGATAATTCAGAGTCCATGCTGGGAAATAAGTCATATATCACTTGGGAAGATGATCTTTGTGAGTAGCTTCAGGGTAGTGTCTTATTTATGACTCCTATGACTCTGCTTGTCAAGGTTCTGCTTATTGGTTTCAGCAAAGGTATCAGACTCAAATCAGTTGGAGGGCTGCATTTCCTGTTTTTCAGGTACCCATAAGCTACACCACCCATAATTCTGCCTGCTTCTGCAGGAAGCCCCACCACCATAGGTAGAGCCAAGGCTCTGACTGCAGAAGCAGGCGAAAGTCCATGAGCCAGATGACCCAGCTCCACAGGCTAGATCTGGTCCACAGCGCAAATGTTTGACCCCCTTGGGTAACAGGACATAGAAGAAAACTCATTGAAAGATGCTGAATTTGAGCTACAGAGTCACTTGGGAAAGAAGAAAGATGACAGAATCATGCTTGGCTATACACCAGGGGTGGGCAAAGTGCAGCCCGGGGGCCGGATGCGGCCTGCCAGGTGGCCCATGGGGCCCCTAAAAATTTAGAAAATTAATATTTATCTGCCCCAGGCTGCCTGTCATGTGGCCCTCAATAGCTATAGTAAGCGGCCCTCCACCCAAAATAATTGCCTGCCCCTGCTACACACTAATGTCTTGCCCTTCTGGTTTTCAGTATTAACAGTAAGAAGCGACCACTGAGTGTGAAGACATTTGATGAGGTGCCAGTGGAGAAGGAGAAAGTTATGCATGAGGTAAGTGAGGGGACCATGTCTCTTTCCACCAGTGTTCAGGAGGCCCATAAAGAGTTTCTGGAGCATGTGTATGCTTCATTCAGGGAGACAGAAATTTGGCCTGGGAGCTGCGTGCCAGTGAATAGAGGTCTGCACATTGCTTAATTGAACAATTCAAAGAGAGGCTAAGGCCTGGTTTTCCCAGGTGTGCTCAGTGTGAGGCACTTAGTCATATTGCTGCTTGGGAATTCCTTCCCCCTCCCCACCTAGAAAAAGGTGGGGGAGAAGCCCCTGAAAGGTCTTGCTTTCATTTCAATATGGAAAAAACCCAAAACATTTGGAACCTCAACATCTTTCAAAATGTGGCATTCCAGTTTTTCATCCAGCCCTGCTTTGTGTGGCCACTTCTAGAATCATAGGTTTCTCAGGTCCTGGATGGTTTCTCTTTGTCTTCCTTACAAAATAATTCAGGGGCTGTGTTTGTGTTTCAGCTTCTTGCAGGCATAGCCCTGTATGGTGCTTGGTACAGAGATAGATTCACTAGCGCTAAAGTGGTAGCCTTTCCACTCAAAATCTACATGGCAAGAAGCCTGGGGAGGCATGAAGCCATTAAGAGACCTTCTGGTTGAGGAAGAGAATGAGCACCCATATGCTGTGGTGCAGCAAAAGGAAAGTAGGATACACACAGTTTTGCCTTACAGTGCAATTCCAAAGCAGGGAACTCTCTCACTCTTTGACTTGCATGGGGAACCTCTTCTCTAGCCAGCAGATACATATTCCACATCAGACAATGTCTGTGACTATCGCTTGTTGTAGGAAACAGATCTCTTTTTCATTCTTTTGCCCATGCAGAATTGATGCCTATTATTATCTTGATGCTTAGTTTATACAGCTTAATCTCTAGTCTACAATCTGTTTTGCTAATAATCGTGCCATTTTGCACACCTGTTTTGCAATTGCTTGTGCCTGTACATCACATTCCAAAGATTTCAGTATTAGAGGCCTTTCTAAAATAACTACATGCATGGTAGGGGTATTTTCCCAAAGTTTGGAAAGGGGTAACACTTTGAAATATTGTTAGCATCTCAGTGCCAGATTGCAGTAGAAACCTTGCATAAATATAATCCTTACTTGCAGTGTAAGTGCATCAGGGTGACTATCATTACCGTAAATGCCAATGGACTGATTAGGTTCCAGTTTCAAAGGGCTACTCAGGAACATTCAAAAGATAGCATTACCCCATTCTCATATTTGTGCTAATTATTTGTAATGTTTTGATGAGTTGTTAACAGGTTTTTTTTCTTTAAATAATTTCAAGATACTGTGAAAGAAGAAGTGCAGGTCATTTATTTCTTGGCCAGCTTTCTGAAGAGACAGTGTAAAGAAAATCCAGGTCCTATAAAATTAATGGGAGTTTTGCAGTGACTTTAGTGGAGCCAGGACTTCACTGTGTGTATTTATAAACAAGCTCCCTAACAGGAGCCCGTTCACACCAGGGATTATTAAAATATTTAAGAATGTGGTTTTCCTTTTATTCTTCAAGCTTTTTCCATAGTACCTGGTCTGGATGGCAAGATAAGACTGATCACAGTTTCATTTCCTACATCTCCTTTATTTTTCCTGTTATGCCCTATACAATTGCTATTTTGCTTCTTTTGAACTCTCCTGAGGAGCAATTAAGACACAAAAGGAATTCCCCGAATCCCTCATTTGATTTTGTTGTCTTTAAAGGTACTTAGAGCAGGGACAGTTTACCTGTGAATTTGTGCAGCACCCAGCACAGAGGCAGCCTGGTTCTGCTCATAGCCACCAGACGTGACCTCAAAGCAAATGATGAACAGCAATTTTATCAGTGTTGAATCACTAGGCCCCCTTTTTAACACTTAAATAGGGTAAACCTAAGCTACCTAACTCAGCAGGATGGTTGAAAGGGTTTTCTGATATTAAGGGAGTTCAAAGATAGAGCCAGGAAGACACATGTATGATGACACTTTCCTTGCAAAGTGATTGAATGAGTCTTTCAAGATAACTTTCACTTTCCTAAAACATCAATAAGTGCTAAATACTGGATATTTCATAGAAGTCCAATACTGGGTATTTCATAGAAATCATAGGGTTGGAAGGGACCTCAGGAGGTCACATCTAATCTAACCCCCTACTCAAAGCAGGACCAGCCCCAGCTAGATCATCCCAGCCAAAGCTTTGTCTATCCAGGTCTTGATAAACTCCAAGGATGGAGCTTCCGCCACCTCTCTGGGTAACCTGTTCCAATGTTTTACTACCCTCCTGGTGAGAAAATTCTTCGTAATATCTAACCTAAACTTCCGTTGCTGCAACTTGAGACTGTTGCTTCTTGTTCTGTCAGCTGCAAACATTGAGAACAGTCCAGCTCCATCCTCTTTTGAACCACCCTGCAGGTAGTTGAAGTCTGCTATTAAAACCCCTCTCGGTTTTCTCTTCTCTAAACTAAATAAACCCAGTTCCCTCAGCCTCTCCTCAGAAGTCACATCCCCCACCCCCCGCACCATTTTTGTTGCCCTCTGCTGGACTCTCCAAGTTGTTCACATCCTTTCTGTAGTGAGGGGCCCAAAACTGGACACAGTACTCCAGATGTGGCCTCACCAGTGCTGAATAGAGGGGAATAATCACTTCCCTTGATGTACTGGCAGCACACCTACCAGTGCAGCCCAGTGTGCCATTAACTATCTTGGCAACAATGGCACACTGCTGGCTCATAGTCAGTTTATTGTCCACTGTAACCGCCAGGTCCTTTTCTGCAGAGCTACTGCCCAGCCAGTTGGCCCCCAGCCTGCACGGGTGCAGAGGATTTTTCCATCCTAAGTGCTGGACCTTGCATTTGTCCTTGTTGAATCTCATGAGATTCTTTTTGGCCCAATCCTCCTATTTGTCTAGGTCACTCTGAATCCTAGTCCTACCCTCCAGCTTGGTGTCATCTGTAAACTTGCTGAGGGTGCTCTCTATGGCATCTTCCAAGACACTGATGAAGAAACGGAACAAAACCAGCTCCAAGACCAACCCCTGGAGCACTCCACTTGATACCAGCTCCCAACTACACATTGAACCATTGATTCCTACTCTCTAAGCCCAATACTCCAGCCAGTTTTCTGTCTACCTTACAGTCCATTCATCCAGCCCATACTTCCTTAGCTTTCCTGTGAGAGTGTTGTGGGAGACCATATCAAAAGCCTTGTTTAAATCAAGGTACACCACATCCACCAGTCTCCCCACCAAGTATTTTAGGTAACATTTTATCTCATGAATGCAACCCTACAATTGTGTATGTTCTCCCTGTATCTCTATCCATTCAGATTGCAGCTATGCCATTTAGATCAGTAGGGATGAACCTTATGGCAGGCGTACCACGAATTAGCCTCGCACTGGGCATGTCTACATGTGCATTTACACCAGCTTAAATTTACTGCTCGTGATGCAGGTATCAAATTTACATTCAAGTCAGTGTAAGTTGTCACATTTACTGCACTGTACAGGCGTGCATGTGTAGATGTGCTCCCATACTGTGCAGTAATTTTGGTTACTGCACAATAAATGTGCACGTGTAGACACACCTACTGTCCCTGAATGCCACTCCTATCTCCTTTTCCTGCCCAATCTTCTGCTCTGCTTCTGCTTCCTGCCCTTTCTGCCGCTGTATTACACACCTACCTCAGGTCTGCCACAGAAGCTGCTCATGCCACTTGTGGCACTCAGGCCACAGGTTGGCCATCCTGAGTTACCTAATATCCCTTTGTCAGGTTTAACAACTGATTTCAAGCTCTACAATGCTAAAAAACTGCTGCTTATACATGCAACCAGAATTTCTCCTTAAAAATTGGAGAAAACCAAAGAAAGGCAAAATCGTCAGCATTACTTTTGTGGTTTCACACAATCTTCCAACTGTGTACATGTTTTGATCCCTGCACTTCCCATGGTATCTTAATATTAATTTTAAAGCAGCTCAAAACTTTCATCTCCATAAAACCAACAAGGCAATTTTCACAGGGAAAATAAAAGCACCAGGGAGACAGGCTGGCTAAAGGGATTGGTAATATAAGGCATGATTCAACAAAGCATATAAATTTAAACTTAACTTCTAAATTGATGAGAGTTGTATATGTTCTGAAAGTGGTTTATGATGCGGCAGTTGATTTAGATGGTCAAGTGACTTGCCAAATCAGGGCTGCAAAGCGAACCTTTGCTCTAGGATCTAGGTTGTCAGCATTCCTAAAGTTACACAACCCTTTTATATTACTTCTTCTGCCATGGAACCCCTACCCCTAGCTCCATGGGCCATGTGAATTGAAACAAAGCTGGGCAACCTTGCCTAGCAATGGTGGCCTCCTGGCCTGCTCCACCATCACCCCCAATCTCTTTGGAGAACCCCTGATGACCTATTGCAGAACCCCAGTTTAAAAACCACTGCCAAGCCTGTTTGAAGTCCAATTCTGCTTGTTAATGCCCAGCTGAGTCACTTTGGGGCTCGTGTGGAATAAGTCAGTAGATCTCACCCTTGTTCTGATAAAGAAGCCTCTAGATTAAAAATGAACTGCCACTATGAAGGGGTTCCTTGTTGGCTTGCTTAACTTGAGACCCATAGCTGAATCACCATGGAGCCTCAACCCTACCTAATGGTGGCCACTTCATGTCAGGGTTAGGGAAAGCTTGAACTGATCTTGCCTGTGTTTTACCTGCTCTGTGAAGAAAGAGAGGACTTCAGTCTGCAGTCAGCCTACTCTGTGTTATAGCACAAAACATGCTTTAGAAAAGTAGGAGGAAGAAGGACAGACGCCATCTGGAATTTACTGTTTGAACCATCCCCTTTGTTCTTCTTTCTTCTTCATCTTTAATTGCTGCCCAGCTCAACTTCTGCATCACACACTCTCCCCTGGCTGTGGTGTTTCTAACTTGAGAAATCTGCAGTGCTGTCATATTCAGTTAACATGTTGCTGACGTCCTGTTTCCTGTACAGGAAAGTGAGTCGGACAGCGGGATGGTGCTGACTTCTGATGAGATGAAAAGCCTGAAGAGGCTGGAAATCCGCTCCTGGCCCTACGGGATTATGGCTCTGGCGTGAGTACATTTCTTTGGAATTGGTGTTGTGTCACAAGATGCTCATGAAGAAAATAAGCGGGTTTTGATTCCAAATGACACACTTTAGTCTGAACAAGCAGACCATATGCAGCTTGGATTTTCAAGATTACAGCAGCATGGCCATGGTTACTAAATTTCAAATTAATAGAAACAATCTAGCTTTGGTCAGAAGAGAGAAAAGCCATGCCAGTTGGCATATAATAAGGTAGACATAAAACACAATCCTAGACCTCTGAAAGAAATGTTGTGCTTACAAATGGGTGTGTATGTCTCTCCCCACAGCCTGGATAATAATTAATTCATCAGCCTTAAAACTGGATGCATCAGGTGTCAAACGAGAAGTGGTCTCGTGCTTTGGAATTGTCATATCAAAGAGGAGCAAAGACTCTGACCTAGCATTGGCTTGTTTGTACATATGTGGAAAACATAGCATAGGAGCAAAAGGACTGAGGATGCATTTAAACTATGTTTGGTTTATCCTGTCTGCCTCTTTTTGAAGTTCTTATTGAGGGGTGCAACAATTTCAAGAAATAAGAAAACTTAATAAATCAAGAGACTAGTAGGGGAAGAGCCCACCCATATTGATACATACCAGACATGCATCAGCCTATTTCCAACATAATAGGCAAGAGGGATTTTCCAGGTGAATAGCAGAGGAAGAACTTAAGATGATGGGATAGGTACTAAAAGGCTTGTAGCCACCCAGAAGATCTCTAAACCTTCTTTTGTATAACTTCTACGATTTCCTTCTCTCTAACTTCTGATAGCCTCTCTCTGCCTGACCCCTTCCTACCCTCAACAGACATCCAACACTTCTTAGCACTGTCTCCAGTCTGAGGAACCAATTGATCCACCTTTCCAGACTGGGGTTGCACATAGGCATTGTGCCAATGCTGAGTTTGTGCTCAGTCATACATAGCACAGGCCACCAAAACAGATCACAGTAAAATACACAGTCATCAGAAAGCAAATGGAGTTTGGCTTCCAGAGTTTCATGTTCTTTTAGCAATCTGTAAAGAACAATCAGACAATGGCAGAAAGATGGAGATGGCTTTGATGATGGAGTGTGTCTTTTCCATGTGTATCCTTACAAAAAATCCTCTAGAACATACTAAAAAATGGTAACCCTTTATAGGGGTTCGGGGATCAACCTGTAGAATCTCATAGAGATTACTGGCCCAGAACTCTTCAAAAAACTTTACAGGAAAGACCTTCAATTCAGCTAATTAGATTTTTAGAGTTCTTTCTCTCTCAAAGGTTTTTTTCTCTGTAGTATCCAAGACAGATATAGTTCTATTGGCTTCCACCCTATTAAATTCAGTATGGATTCTCACAAGGGTAATTTCTATCATTCTTGACAGAACACACTGAACTTTTTGTTGAAGAGTGGTATGTTGGAAGAAGACTGCACTGAACAGTGTTTTAACGCTGTGCACAGTCAGTACTTGAGAAGGGCTATCTGTTTCTGACAGGCAGGGAGAGGAAAGATGGGAGAAATCAACTTCATCTCTATGAATTCCTACAGTTTTTGGATTACATTCAATATGCGGTATTTAGTGACAAAAGCTAGAGATCAGACTCATGTTGGCCTTGTTGCAGGAGGGTGCAGCTTTCAAATTCCACCTAGTCTATAGAAAAGAAGTATGTTTCTGGGAGCAGTGTTGTCCAGTAACATCCCCTCAGCAAGGCCGTTTACATGCACGGCCCCCGTACTAGAAAAACAGAGATCCACCAAGATCTGTATCACTCCTCCATCGTGTATGAAACTTACCCTCCGTGCAGTCCTGTGTAGAGAGATTCAACTTCATGCAGGTACCACATGCAGTATAGTTGCATTAACACAGCAGTCTGCTAGGACTGATTTACCCTGCTTCTGTACACTGGGCCATGTATACATATCCTGAACTACAAGTACATAATTGCTCTAGGGACAGATGAATTGAAAATAAAAATACAATAATCTTCCTGTGGATATTCGTTCCTTTTTTAAGATTTTAAAAATCACATTTGAAGCATCTGTTTTCCCCCTTCTAAGATTCAGAAGTGTTGAAATAAGTAGTTTCTGGGTTGTTTTTCAACTCCCCCTCCCTCTTCAAGTTTTTAGCGAGAACCAAAAGACCAAAATCCCACCAGACAGGGGATCTAACAGCATTTCTATCCAGAAGCAGAAATGTAGACATTCCATGACATAGCCTGTTCTTTTGACATTTCAATCCCAGCTCTGCAAAGGATGACGCCTCAAATAAACCTTCTGAGCTGGACATCGGGAGTTTAGCTCAGAGTTTAAATTGGTGGAGTTCCACTGACTTCAGTGAAGTTATGCCATGATTTACATCCATTAAGCCTGCTAAATTCAAATGTTCTTTGCTATTCCATTCCCTGCTATGCACCTGGTTCTTCTTGGGGCAGTCAGTCCACCAAAGGGCATCTGCCTAGAAATCTAGTGTAGGCACAAGCCCTGGAGAAACAACGTCCATCTCATTCTTTTTCCCAGGACCTTAGTGACTACAGGGTAGAACAGGGGCGTGTTTTTACTTGGTCAGTTTTTCCACTCAGTGTTTGAAGTCCAGCTGAGCAGTTGGCTTCCTTTTTAAATGATCTTGCAGAATTTCTGTGGCCCAAGAACATATTTATTTAAATATTAATTGCAGAGGGTCCTGCTATCCTTTCTGTTGAGGACATGTCATCCGTTGGCCTCCCCTACCCGTAACTTGAAAAACAACCCCAAGAAACACATGTGATAGTCTCTAAATGGCTTGGAGAGGTCAGAAAAAAGTGTTGGTTTAGCAGGGGAGGTAAAGTCACCCTTGTTAATTGTATATCTCTCTCTATCAAAAACATTTACCCTGGACCTGTTTCAAATAGTCGTTTTCTTCTTACACAAAACCTTTCAAAGGCTTAGCGTGTTTTCTAAAGCAGGGTGGCTGAGTTTATTATTTTTCACCAAAATCTCGCTGTTTATTTATCTTGCATTTGCTTTCTCCATTGAGTTTAAAAGTTGGCAACACTACACACCAGCGAATGCCGGTGTCAAGAGTTTATTGAAGATGAATCCGATACCCTGGGACTGGGAGTTCTATTAGACAAGTAATAACCATTTTTGAAGTCAAAGCATTATACGCTGCCATAGCAAGGAGAGAGAACAGAGGCACCATGGTGGAATTAGAGTCCTACAAAGTGTATGGGAAATGCAATGTGTGCATGTGGGACATAACAGTGAACACTCCAGTGTCAGGTTTCATCTTGTAATGTTAACAGACCACTACAAAGCCAAGTTTTAAACCCCTCATGGAGAATCTCTAATCAAGTCACTATTTAATATCTATAATAGATTTGGCATTCTTTTTCTTGTCTGACTTGATGATGCTTAGCTGATCTCCAATTATTTGGCTAATTTTGGCTGAGTGCCCTGACCCCAGCTGACTGGGGCTCAGCAGATGTGCTGCAGGCTCCATGATGCTGCATTGGGATTGTGTTCCTGAGAGCCATCCATTTAGGTCTAAGGCAACCTAGGTGCACAAGAGTGAAAGCAAAACAATTGCACTTAGCAGCATCCAGGATTCCAGTTCAAATGCAAAGTGTCTGGGGAAAATGCAGGAACAGTAGCTGCTAGAGAAATAGCTATACAACTCGCATCTTCATAATTTACCTGTGGGATCTTCTGTGCTATACAGGCATCCAGGGAAAATGGAATCAGCATTCCTGCTCCAGCCTCCTATTTCCATATGAATGGGGTTTGGAGATAAAATCTCCATACACATACTCAAATGATCTGGGAGAATTCTCCTGGTTTTGTTTTCCTGGTAGAAAAACCTTCCCAGAGACCCTGGAACAGACATTTGAATGGTGAGCCCCGGAAGAGCAGAGAACTCGCACTGTGATGCTGCATAGCCAGAGGCCCTGTGTACACTTCTCAGAGTACTCTGCAGGCTCCCTCAGTCTGCCTAGAGACAGATGGCAGCAGTGCACAGGGAAGCCCTGATTGGTTGACCCAGACTGTTCAGAGTCAGCCTGTGGCTCCCTGCAGCACAGTGTGGTGATTGTGAAGGGGCATGTTCTGCTCCCCACTCAGCTGGAGCAGTAGAGTCCAACCCAGGCAACACACTGTCTCTTGGCAGGAGAGGGGAGCAATGCACCCTGGGATTCTGGAGAACTGTGCTGTGGCTTCTCTCAGAAGGGAATGTGTACAGACATTTGATCTCCTAGGGAAAACTTTCCCAGGATTGAATTACCCCTAGTTGTTCCCAGGTTATTTTTCTCCTGGAGTGGCTATTTTTGCTCTGGAAGAAAAATTCTGAACATCTGTACAATCATATTTTCTCCTGGGAGGATGGAAGACATTCTTTTTTGTTGCTAGCCACCTTGGACTAGTGACATTTTCCTCTATGATCCTGTACCAGAGGAATCTAGATTGGAACGACCCCAAATTTAAGGCATTCAAGCATTAGTAAACAGCTTCTGAAAATCTTGTGCAAGTAACTTTCCAGGGTCACACAGTGATGCAATGACAAGACCCCAGATGAGAAAAGGAATACTTGGTCCCCGAGCTCATTCTTTCAGGCTCTCTGCCTCGCAGTCCGCTGTTCCATGTGTTTAACTGGGAATTGCCCATTGCTGGTGGTGCTGCAGTTTTCTGCCAGAGCCTTTCATTTGGCTTGGCTGCATATCTGAGATGTTTGGTCCGAAACTATCACTGGTGTCAGCAGGATCAAGTCCACTGAAGCCCTAAGAGTTGCAGTCACTTACTCCCATGGTAGACTAGTCCTGACTGTGGATTGAATTTAGCTTTGTTTTGTGTTTAGAAGCATTTCAAAGCAAAAAGATCTTTTGACCCTAACTTTCGAGGTCCCTGTGTCAGCAGACGTTGAGATGCATTGAGCTTGCCAGAGGGGAAAGCAATATTGGCTTCTTACTTTCCTGTGTTCATTGCCAATTCACTGAGGCAAACAGAATTACAGTCATAACTATTAGAGAAGAACCAGGGTTAGTACGTAATATTTAATCGGGGGAAAAATACAGTAGCCTTAATCACTCTTACTCTGAAAAAGTGCCCCATTAAACACCTCATGAAAGCTGTTCTGAGGCCCTGAAGCTCACTTTCCCTTACTGTTACAGGATGTAGGCATAAGGCACAGACTGCTGTACCTGGCACTACAGAACCCAGTTGCTCATTTCTTACATGCAGCTTTTTAAATGCAGCCTCTGAACATGTCCCAGCTTTTTAAATGACTCCAGACACCTGTCTGTTCCCCTCTGCTTAGGGCAAGGTGGCTGGGCAGCAGTGTGGGGATGTGTTCTGTCTTGCACTTCAGAACTCACTGATCAGAGCAGAACTGCCTCCACTCCTGTTTCCCTCCCCTAAGACATATGCTTACAGTCATCACTCCACTTGCACATTCCTCTTCATGTCATCTGACACTGACTTTTAAGCCGTTAGAAACTAGCTCCCTTATACAGAAAAATAAACAGCCCCAGCAATGAGTTCCCAGTTCTTGGGGTGTTGATTTTGATATTTCTCTTACTGTAAGCCAAAAATCAATGATTAATGGAGTGAGAGGGAAAAGACCAATTATGTCATCCAGTCTGTTTCCTTCTAACTGATTCAAATTATCCCTTCCAGCATCCTCTGCCTAGCTTCTACTCCCTCTCCAGGGTACTCATTCTGGCAGTCTATATATATTTCCTAATATTTAACCTATTTTTTCCTTTGCTGGTCTCAAGACCTGTCTGTATCATGCTGGGAGACCTGGGCAAAACACTTGAAGAATTTGAAAATGGCATGGTGGGACTTCGCTGTAGGTTTAACCAGGTCTCATTACCAGGCTAAAATTCTCTGTCTGTAGCCAGATCCCATGACCCATTAACCATGTTCATGCTGATCCATGCCATAGATTTTAACTGTGCTGTAACTGGGACAGGCAGACATGTGTTGGTAGCTACTCTAATTCCAATTTGTAGACTAAACAGGCCTTTGAGTATACTAACTTGGTCTTTACCAATCAATCCCTCAGCCTCCTGTGGCATTTACATCTGACGTATAGGTTCAGAGCTGGGGGCACTATAGAACGAAAGCCACAGACATTTGTAGATTATTATTATTATATCCCCGTTAGTCACCAGTTAGCCAGGCTCAGACTGGTTCTTTTCATTCCCTCACTGGTTAATCCTTCCAACACCTCAGTCATTTTTTGGTTCTGTTTTCAAATTTCCCTCGTTTGCAGCCACAGTATTGGTGCAGACTAAATATTATTGGAAAAATCTATTTTAATGTGCAAACTGCAGTGTTCAGACCCCCCTAAGAAGTGTACAAGGTCATGTGAAAACTAATTCAAGGATTTCTGAATTATTATCACTGCCTTGGAACAATTTCTCAATGTATTTTAGGTGTCTCACTCTCCCCCTCTTTCTCCATAATTTCAAGTGATAACACGAGTTATGCAGGAATTAATGGAGACATGAATAATTATGAAGGGTGTTGTAACATTGATCAGTGCCTCCTTTCTACCTTTTCCCATCACATGTGAACAACAGGTTATATGAAAATGAAGGTTAGTGAAAGAAGAATCAATACAGGGAATATTTATTTAGATAGCATAAGTTCAACTTGGGAATTCATTGAGTCAAATATTGTGGCTGGGTTTTAAATAGGATTAGGTCACAATACAATTATTAACATTTGTAGCTCTGTAATGCCATGAGTAATAAAATCATGTGTTTTGGGCCATAAACTATTTTCCTGTGGGGCTCAGGATTGTCTCTCCTAATATGCAGTATTACAGCAGTTGGCTTTGAATGCGGTTCTAAAGGAGGGGTTGCTTTCATTTGAAGCACTAAGTACTAGTTGCTGTTGAAAGGAGGATACCAAAGTAGATGGACCAGTGATACTTGACACAGTGTGGATGTATCTGTAGCAAATGAGATTACAAGTCAGAACAAGAAGGCCCTAGCCTTGCCTTCTGATATATCTTCCAAACATATGAGCTTTCCCTGCTACGGAGACAAAAAAAAATGGGAAGAATGAAGCATCGGTAAAGACAGAACATTAAAAAGGTAAAAATACAAAGAGCCTAAGATTGTTTTAATTTTGGAAATGCATTTTGGATTAAAGGTATGTTTTCAAAAGTTAATTGCATTTCAGTCTGCTATACATGGTGAATCAAACAACTTGCTTCTGACCTACCTCATCATCTCTCGGCCTTTGGAGCAAATATTAAATGTCACTGTTTTAGAATCTCTTCAAACATCAGTGTGATTTAGGTGATAGACAGAGTCATTCCCAGATCCAATCTCCTGACCTAGAGGGGACAAAAATGTAACGAGAACGTTTTCTGGGAGCCGACAAGGGTCTGAAAGTTTCTCATTGTGTGGCCTCCCTAAACCCTAATAACATTTCTTTTATCCAGAACTCTAAGACACACAGGCTGGGGGCCAAGTTACACAGATACTTTTGTGCTTCTCCCAGTCTCCATTGACAACTTTAATACCTGGCAAATTAAAAGCCAGAGCATCCATGGAGTCAGCTGACAAGTGTCAACAGGAGTGGGTAATAAAAAGAGAAATACGTAAACAAACAGTGAGGCAGAAAGGTGGCTCTGTTGCTTCTGTCAGATGTAGAATTTATCTAAAGACCATGGAGGGAGTGGGGATACAGGGTCAGCTGCCAGCTGTGTGGTATTTAGAAGCAACTCCCACTGGTATTTTTCTGTGGACCAGGGAAAAAGAAAATAATTTAGATTTTGACATTAAAAGTTTACCACCATGCTGGAACTCTCAAGGTTGTAGTTTATTTTAGTCTTCAGAGGCAACCTAGCAATTAGTGACCTGCACTGCCAAACAAGAGATTGGGTTCAACTCTAGTCTGGATTTACAGGGCCAACACAGTGAAGTTTATGTTTGCGGCTGTGGATTGGAGTTCATTTCAGAGGTGCAAGAGGCAGCCTAATAGTTAGCTACCTCCATCACCAGGCAGGAGTCCTGGAGTCATTTTCTCAGTCCAGGGATGAGCAGGAGGGACCAATTGTATAGTGACCACTACAGTGAATTGAAAATGAGCCCTGGTGTGAAAATGGTGCATCTCCCAAACTTGGTAGGAATTGTACCTTTCTGTATTATGGTAGAATTTGCCTCAAGATATCAGGATTAAATAAGTGCCTTAATAGATTAAGACCTGCAAAATATAATTTAACACACACCGACTCATCACACTATAGACAATGGCATAGGGGCATGACTATGTGGCAGTGCACAGCGACACAAGCCAATACATTGCCACAGCAAATACATGCCTTAAATATGCCCTGGTAGCCTTCTAGAGCTACTAGAGCCATGTCATCGAGTCAGATTGAAATTATGGATTATTGCAAAAAGATGCTGGTTAAAAAGTGCTAAACCCAGTAGAGAAGTTCAGAGAGCCACCATCAAGGTCTGATTTCTTATCAAAACCATTTCCATATCAACCAAAACTCTTTTGCAAAAGCACTTTGAATTCCTCAAGCAGGGGGATGTTTCAGGGTAGTCTACAACAATATAGCTACCTTGCTTGTAAACAGGTGAACTTCTTTTCGAGACCATCTTGTGAATGTACCTAACAAGAGGATACCCACACTCCCTTAGGATTCTGCATGTCTACTTTACCCAATAGGGGTGCTATGGGGTAACAGTGCCTCTTCTCCCCATCAGCCCCTACAGTAAAAGAAGACTTAGCTGACAGACTTCTCAATAACATGGTAAGCAAGAGAGATTTGCCCTACAGTGCATACAAGGTGCACTCTTGCTTCCCATATAGTTACAAATTGAAGTCCATCATAGATTATTCATTAATCTCATCTTTTACTGACTTAAAGAAAAATCATAGCCCATGGTTCTGATTTCAGAAAAAGTCAGATCACACTGAGCTGGTGTCAGAGCAAGGAGAAGGAACCTGTATGTGACAGGAGCATTTGTAGCTAGGATACATTCAGTGCACTGAAGGGTGGTTAGGGAAAAAGACAGAGCATCGGGTCTCCTCTGGGTTTTATCTTTAGACCCATTCCTGAGCACCTCTGGGTATCTCACTAACTCACCTTTTCTGCACCCCATCTGTAAAATGTTACCTATGTTACAGGGATACTCTGAAGTTGTATTCATTAATAGGTGTAATGTGCCTTGGAGATTAGAGAATGACCAACATGAAGCTAATGAAAGAAAAGGGCAAAATCCTATAAGGAAGGTGTCTATATATTGTATTGTTTGCCTTTGTGTTCGAACAGGAGGAGGGCTGTCAGCAAGAGCAAAGAGTCCATTCTATCTGATCACGAGCGTGAAGCTGTGAAATACCAGCCAACAGTGCAGGTCGAAGAGGACACCTTGGATTTCACACTGGAAGACTCAGTTCTTCTGCCAATGGATCCAAACCTGGAATGTCACAGTCCACCACCAGATTACAACTCTGTCATCCACTACTCCACCCCTCCAGTGTAAGGAGTCCAGTCCAAGCCAGGTCCTGTTGCGGCTCTTTCTACAATGCTGGATTCTAACGTTCTTCCACACTTGTACAGGTTGTTTAAAGGGACCAGAGTTAAAGGGGAGAAGGGAAATCTCTCAGCACATGGGTTGATATGTCTCTTTTTGATGCATCCCTTTGTGAATGGAAACACTTTAAAAGCAGTTACAGCACTACCTTAAAGGCATATTTCAGTTTAGCCAGTCAATTAACAGTCTACATACTAAAAGAAAAAAATAGAAGCTACGGCCCCTGCTCCTTCCTCTCCTCCCAGGATTTCTCAGTGGCAAATGCAGATATGCATGCCACTTCAGGAGCATTCTGCTCGTTCCATATGAACCACTGAGGAGAGCAAAGTTGAATATAATGTTGAATCAGCCATGCCTGTGCCCTGCAAGGATTACATAATAGGTGCTGTTGGGGGATCACTAAAGAACTGCAGCTACAAACTTTGATTTGGATTTGGGGAACAAATGAAAAATTCAAGATTATTGTTTTAAAAAGTGATGGGGATTTTATTGTCCCTCCCCAAATGCATTTGAAATAGGCATACATGTTTTGCTTAAAGCTGGGAATCTAATATTGTGTACGTGCTATGACATCATGTTTCTGTTTACCTTCTGAATGCCAATCTCTCTAAAAGGAAGCACTCCCTCCAGATTTAATGGCTGATGCCCAGCACAGTTTGATCTCTGGAATGCCAACCTGTACCAAACTGTGATACTTCAGTGTGTACCTAGGGAACAGCCTGACCCCCTTGCCAAGGTAAACATCAGCGTGGCATACAATGCCCTCTGCACCCAAACTCTGCGTGCGCCAGTCAGAGCTCTTAGAAGTCTAATCGTCAGAGCCCAACTGGATCACAGATCTACAGAGCTAACATTTGAAAGAGAGCTTCCCCTCTTCCCCCCCCCAGATGTGTGTGCAGCAGGGTTTGAAGGTTTGCGAGCACACATACCCATGTCCTTCTTGCAGCAGCCTCACAAGCATGAAAATAATCCTTGCCATTTGAATGTACTGTGAAGTAATCTCAACTGGCGTTAGAAATTGAGGAAGAGATGAAACATCTAGGTTGTCAAATCTAAAGCGCAGCTGAGGGAGATGCTCATTGACAGTCAAGCCTGTAACCTTTTAAAATTATAGCTCTGTGCAGGGGATCTGTATGCATATTCTCTTTGTGGGAGAACCTACACAGCCCCTTCCCTTCCCACAGGTTTGACACTGTGTTTTGACTTCTTCAGAGGGAGAGAGTTTTTTCAATGAACATAAGCCAAAGGAAATTTAAAAAAAAACAAATTTAGCAAACAATATGGTCACCTCCCCCTAACTTATTCTACATTATAAAAACAACCCAGACTGTCTCATAACATTAAAAATGCTTAGGCAGAACTGATTACATTGAAATAAATAGGAAAGAAGCCTCAGGTATTATCACAGGGGAAATGACAGGCCCAGCACCACGTTAACTGTGAATGGCAACGCATCTGAAAATGGGGTTCTTGGGAACTGAGGTCCTGGTTCTCTTTAGCTTCAGAGTTAATCTATATAAAAATAAAAGATAAGAGATATGAAGTAACTCACAATCCCCTTGTTTGCAGCAGACCTGCCAGAGAGTTGTGGTCTGTAGTTGCTTTATGGTCATTTTTGCACTTCTTTGTATTTTAGTTGCTATGCATTAACTAGAGCTGGTCAAATAATGAGAGAAAATTGGTGAGGAAAAATGTATCTACAGAGCTTTCTGTTGCTTGTTAGATCAGTTGTTCGGTGAATATTAAATTAACCATCCATAGGTCCATTTGAATAATAAAATACTTGGCTTACAAATTATTTATTCTCAAGACAAATGGAAAAAAAAATGTGCCCATAAATAATTTGGCTAGCTCTAGCATTAATGGTGTTGATGTGAGGTGGTTTGATGTTGTGCCTTGCTCTGTAGCTTGTGAGAAATTATGGTGTGTAGAAATCTTTGCTTGTGAAATCTAAATATAAGGAAGCATCAGGAAAAAAAATAACAGCTGCAAGTATATAAATGTACTCTCCATTTTTAAAAGAAAATTGGAAACACTGCTGTGCTAATTAGCTGCTTCCAAGAAAGTTCAACATATTTTCCCCTTCCTTTTTCTTAAGAACAGAATTTGCAGGGCCTTATCTGAAACTAAAGGCATGGGGAGGGTGTTATCTAAGTAGAACCCAAGGGGCACTTCTCTATTTAAGGAAACTGTGCACGTAGAGAGTCTCTTTATGGCTGTTGGCCAGCATCCCTCAGGGCTGCTCTTGCGTCACATGAAGTTGTCTAACAACACGAAAGTACAACCCCACGCACTGGGGAACCCCGGTTTAATCACTGGTTCCACCGACAGGCCTGTTAAAATGGAGGGTCTCTTTGTAGTCCCGGGGTCAGGAGCTTTCTAGGGCTTGCCATGCCTAGGATGCCAACGATCAGTTCTTCAGCGACCCATTCATCTCGGGCAGTGGGTGGAAGGTTTTGGTTTAATCCTGCCAGCCCCACAGCATTTAGAAAATGCTTCCAAGAAGCTGCAAATGACATGTTCACACAGACGTGTTTCCAATTTTTGCATGGGGAAATTATTTCCCCTTGTTGGTAAATGCAACCAGCAAAAACATTGCCTGAAAAGTATTATTGAACATATGTGTCTTGTATTTTATTTACTAATATTTTGTTTGTCCTTTCCTCATCCCCCTTTATTTAATTATTGTTCTGTCCTTACGTTGGTGTATATAATTTACCCAGTAGAGGCAAATATAGCGATTCATTTATATGGTAATGTATGTAAGGTCTTAGTCAAAAAAGAAAAGGAGATTCTCTGATGTAACAGAGTTAAGCATCTTTACTAAACATTTCACTAATGCTTGCAGGACAGGCTTCCCTTTAAAGCACCTTCCTAGCCCCATTTTATAGAGACTCTCCTTTTGGCTGTTTGCATTTTGGACTCTTGTTTATGCCCTTTGTTATTTAGCTTCAGTTGGAAAACAGGGGCTGGATTCCTTCAGGAGGAATCCAGCGGGCTTGTCGCATTCCTCGAGGTGGCAGCCATGCAGCTCCAGGTAAAGAGGAGAGATTTTCACTGGCTTTATTCTAACTCAAGGCTGACCTACTGGCTGGAAGAAGAGAGGGAGCCAAATTGTTAAGTGATGTAATGTTTGATATTTTTCAGATTTCTCAGGGATTCCTATTTGACTCCAGAGGGCAGCCAGCCACCTGCCGTGCCAATCTGATTCAGCTCAATTACATTGGCTATTTTACATGGTGCTTTCCCCTTCTCTTTTTCTCTTGCAACTCTGCCATTTGAGGGCAAAGGGACTCAGAGCTGTCAGGGGCAAGGATCATCTTTTCCCCTGACGACTGCTGGAGTCAGATCAGAGGTCAGGGGCATGCTGCTTCCACACCTACCTCAGTACAGTATTCCAGATGGTGTTTCTTGACCCTAATGTTTTCTTGCCCCCATCCCTTTTCCTCACTCTCCATTTACCCGTGAACATGGAAGGTTCCTGTCACTGCCTCCCTTCGTGGACCCTCCCAAAGACTTCTGGCTAAGGTCAAGTGTAGAACCATTTTCACTCAGTCACTTCCTCTATACCTTGACCTTGCTGGGAATTAAGTAGACCATTTAAACAGGATTTAAATAGGCCTTTTCCACCTTGACTTTTCCCTTCCGTGAAAAAAGTCCCTTTGTTCTATATTACCTAGAAATCTCACTGTATCTCCTCTTTGAACAACATACGCTTCCTTCTTTTCAGGGTGTTTAAGTATTCAGTATCCAGTATGCCAAAGTCCAATGGATTTGTCCCTGAATCCCATCCGTCTCCATGCTTTCACTCAGACAATGTGATTGTTCTCTGGCCCTTTTGCTGTCTCTTAGTCTGAAGTGGGGTGTCAAGTGAGATCTTGGGTCTGCCCCCAACTCCCAGCCCACCACAGGCAATGAGGAAGATCAGATTGAAGTGGAAATCTCATGTCCTAAGGTCTTTCTCTGGAGTGGGCCCAAACACGGGAAACAAAATCTGAACCCCCAGTAGCTTTTGAGACATTTAGATTTGAATCTCAATATGGGTCCAGACTCCACAGTTATCATCTTTAGTTTGAGCACAACTCTGTCCAGCTGCTCCCATGGGAGCTGTGTGGAAGACTGTGGAAGGCCTTGGCACTTCCTGCCTCATGGCAGAGGGGAAGCTGGCATTTAAGCCTGCAACCATGCAGCCAAACCTTATCTGCCTTTAATGCAGTTACCAAGGTGGAAGCTTGGATTGATGTTTTCTAGGTCCCAAGCCTCAGCTGGACAATTACAGGGAGTGAAATGTCTAGCAAACGGTTCCTAGCAAGACACAAGGCACCGGGCCTTTGCAAGATGAGATTCTGAGCTCAAGCACAGGTCTTTTGTCTATGAATAAACAGGAGGGAAAGTACACATGGGGAGGCATGTATTGCCCTTGAAATAATGGCTAAATCTTGGGGGCCCTTCTAGGTTTCTATTTTGATCTTTATTCAGGCAAGATCTTTGTCATTCAGTGGAGTAATGACTGAGTAAGGACTCATTAAAAATTGAGTGTGGCCTTCAGGAACTGAGTCTAACAAAAAAGTATCAGACTGTAGAAGTGTGTTGCCTCAGTTCTGGCCTGTTTGCTACAAATGTCTGTTTGGGAACCCAAGCCAAGTCTATACAGGCTGTGGTTATAGGAAGACTGATGCAGTGAGAAGAGTCCCATTGTCCTGCTGAATAATCCTATTTCATAAATGCTGGCTCCATTGTTATCCCTCAGTCAGTCTTTCCTTAGACCTTGAGCTGTCCAAGTCATTAATCAAAGCTGGGAAAGCCCAATAACTGTGCAATTATGGACAATAAACTAAATAAGTGCCATGTATTACTCAAATCACCATGGAATGTGTGTGTGCCCAGTCCCTGTTTGTCTGAAGAATGTATGCACTGAAAACTCTGCTTTCTTATGTAGTCAAAATTTGTATTGTATCTATTAACCCAAAAATAAAAAGATTCTATATTTATACAGCCCAGGGCTGCTGTGTGTCATCTGTTGTCTTGTGTGGAGTTGTCCTTGGAGAAGGATATAAATAAAAATGTGACAGTGTTGAGAGACTCTACAGGGAGTGGAATTTATATTAATTGATTTGTGGCTTTCAAAGCTTGGGACGTAAACTTTTCACATTGTGGCAGCTTGAAAATGCCTATCCACTGCATTCGCTTAAAGAGCTCATACGGCTAAGAAAATGCCAGTCTGGTTATGCTGGTGTATATCCGTAGATCTGACTTGATGACATGGAACAAGCTGGATTATGAATCTAGCTGCCACTAAAATCTAGCCAATGTGACCCACAGGCCCCAGTCCTGCAAACAAATCAAATCAGTATGGCCACTGATGCTCAAGTTAAATGTCTGCAGGATAAAAAACTATGCTCAATGCAATGAGGCCTAATGTTAAGCTTCAAAACTGTGCTGAAGAGAGGCCTGCCCCTGCATGCATTATTCTCAACTCTACAGGGCCTAAATACGTGGCAGTGGGCAAAGTGATAAAGACAAAGGGAATGGGAACTGCAGGGTAGGCTGACATTTGGGGTCTTAGAGGGGTTTTAAAGTTTCAGAAGAATACCTTGTCCCGTCATTTAAAAACAACTGTTTTGCAAGCAGATTTAATTTCAGACAATATCGTCCCATAGTTGTGCAGAGATCCTCACTGGATTCTCATGCACAACTAAAGTACTGAACTCCTTCCTGAATCGATAACTCCCCAGGTTATGTGGAGCAGTGCAGTAGGTCTAAAAATGTAGAAAAGTAGGAGAAAGGGGAATATTTTACTTGAATTATAATTTTTCATGATGGGGGCTCTTCTTCTTAATATTTGGGAAGACCCCTGTAATCATGGTTTCAAAGAACTCCTTTCCAGTGGCATAGTTAATCATAGTTAATGATTGCTGGCCATGCCGTCTATGAGATCTTTTCAGTTTATTGCAGACTGACAGAGATTCATTTCTATTTATTTTTCCAGGGAGAAGGTTTCATTAGAAAAATCATTGTGTTATGGTGTTCCGGAGACATTTCCCCATTAGCACAATCTGAAAGCTTTTGGCATGGGTCTTGAGCTAATCGCTGGGGTTTGAAAAACGTCAGAGCACTCGGTCACTTGGAACCTTTTAAAATTTCTCCTCAGCCCTCATTGCAAATAGTCCTGGAAACAAGTGTCTACATTATATATGTCATTTGAAATGCTGCAGTCTTCTCGCATTCACATAATGAGCAAGAACGTTCTTCCCTGTAAACTATGAAATGCTTTAGTGATTTATATAATGCATCACTCCTGTATAATTTTGCTAGGCAGTATGGAGCCTCCTCCTTTATGATGAGGCTAATATATCAAACAGCAGAAAGAAAATGCAGAAAATTAACTCTGATTTGCTTTAAGCTGCTACTGTAAATTAGCGATTGCCCACAGCCGTGCACGTCTTTAGTTGCAAGGTGCCCAATTTTGCCTTGCCTTTGCTAAGAATGGATTCTTAGAAAAGCACAGGATTAGGAAGACATCTCCACAGTACACTGCCACATAGAAATACCCAAACTCATTCAAGTACCAGAAACAGTCGGCCTATGTTAGCACAGCACTGCACCCTCTAATATGCTTTCCAGCTCTCCTGGTTCTAGTCCGAGAGCTAGCTCAGATGTCTCTAGCCAGTGCTGCATCGTTCTGTGCAAATATACACAGGGGTCAAGACAGCCAAGACCTTCTCCTGTTTCTAAGAGTAACCTCAGTGAGATCAAGTAACCTTGTTGTGCCTCAGTCTTGCTACCTGTAAAAGTGAGACAAGTTTGTATGTTATTTTTACTACTGTAGACCCTCCAGGCTCCAGCCAATATCAGGGCACCAAACTGTAAGACATGTAGATGTGTGGCCCCTAAGATCATACAGCAGAATAAGCTGAAACAGGCTTTTGTTTGTTTGTCAGGCTTGAGCAAAGGAGATATGAGGACAGACATACCTTTACTTGAGGCCCCTCTGCAGTGAAATACTACTGGTTTGTTCACCCAGAAAGAACTGTCATCTTTTGCCTCAGTGAAGCAAGATACAAGAAAAGGAGAAGCCCTCACTCCATGACCTCAGCTGGACATGCCCTAATGAAGAGTATTTTCTTCATGAAACACAAACAGGGCAGCCCCAAGAAGACGTGGAAGGGAATTGCTTAGCTCCTGCAGAGTTGTTTAGCCCCTGCCTAGCTAATAAGCAGCTCAAAACAGGGGCATGCTGCTGTCTTCTGTTATGGATTGCATGTAGCATGTAAAAAAATAATAATACTAAAGTATATGTCAACTTGGCTAACTGAGAATGCCTCTTTGTTTCCTCTTAGTGGCTGGTCCTGGTAGGAGGAATCTGCCTGCTACTACTTCCTGCTATCAAATTTACTCTTTTAGTTCAAGCATTAGAGCAGTGGTTCAATTCAACCTTTTTTAGACTTGAGGCACCCCACAATAGACTTGAAACACCCATCGGTAGATTCGAGGCAGCCCTCGAAAAATGCTGGCTCTTAACTTTGACACTTTTTTTTTTTTAACTAGAGAAAAATAATGAACTAATTATTCTGTTGCAAAGAACTCAGAAAAACCACAATAGGTCAGAATGTTTTTAACG